GGTGTGACAGGATGACTACATGATATATAACAAAAAGACAATCGTTCCTAAATACTGTTGTTTGAAAATAGTCGCTGACCCCTAGGGTCTTATATATATATGGGAGCCGTCCGTAAAAGCAGGTCACAAATTTATGAATTGATGCGTTTACTTTGCTTTGCGCGATTGCTAAAACCTGCATCGCGATAGGCTGAGCGATTGGTTGGCGATTGGTTATACGGCTACCACCCTACTACTACTACTACTACTACTACTAGTACTACTAGTACTACTACTACTACTACTACTACTACTACTACTAGTACTACTAGTACTACTAGTACTACTACTACTACTACTACTACTACTTTCGAGACCAGAACCATGCCACTAATTGACATGGCCGCGCGGATTCCGCGCGCGCGGAATCCGCGCGCGCGGAATCCGCGCAGATGTTTTCAGGTCAGAAGGGCATTCAAGCTAGCTCCAATTGAAAACAAGTCAGAAACAGGTCAGAAACAGGTCAGAAACACCAAAAAGGCAGCACTTGCCTAGCATCCCATCCATCCATCCATCCATCCATCCATCCACCTCAGCTCTTATCATTGCTACTTCTACTATTACTACTATTACTACTATTACTACTATTACTACTATTACTACTATTACTACTATTACTACTATCTACTACTACTACTACTACTACACTACTACTACTACTACTACTACTACTACTACTACTACTACTACTACTACTCGTACTACTTTTACTACTACTACTACTCCTACTACTACTCCTACTCCTACTCCTACTCCTACTTCTACTCCTACTCCTACTCCTACTCCAAACGCAACCTCTCTCTCTCTCTCCCTTGCCTATTCCCTCACCCTCCTACCAGAACTCCTACTCCTACTCCTATTCCAATTTCCACAACCACTACTGCTAGTGCTACTGCTACTGCTAGTGCACTGTGAGTTTTCCGGACCGTTTCCGGACCGCACAAGCTTATTTTGCTCCCAAATTTGAAATCGAATGCGTTCACGCATGGATCCTTACTCTCATTACTAGATTTGCTACTACCCCCAGCACTACCACCACACCCGCTGCTACTGCACCACCCTGCACCACCACTACCACCACTACCACTAGTACACCTAGGAATTTCTGCTCTTGCTTTTAAATCCAATTGCATTCGTGTGAAGGGTCAGAAACGAGTCAGAAACCAGTCAGAAACCAGTCAGAAACCCGTCAGAAACCGGCCAAACGCAATCTCTCTCTCTCTCTCTCCCTTGCCTATTCCCTCACCCTCCCATCAGAACTCCTACGCCTACTCCTATTGCAATTTCCACTACCACTACTGCTAGTGCTACTGCTACTGCTAGTCCTGCTGGTACTACTGTGAGTTTTCCGGACCGTTTCCGGACCGCGCAAGCTTATTTTGCTTCCAAATTTGAAATCGAATGCGTTCACGCATGGATCCTTACTCCCACTACTAGATTTGCTACTACTCTTAGTACTACCACCACACCCGCTGCTACTGCACCACCACTACCACTAGTACACCTAGGAATTTCTGCTCTTGCTTTTAAATCCAATTGACACGAGTTCCGCTGAAGGGTCAGAAACGAGTCAGAAACCAGTCAGAAACCCGTCAGAAACCGGTCAAACGCAACCATCTATTTCCCCCTCCCTCCCTCTCTCTCTCTTTTTCTCTCTTTCCCTCCCTCTCCCTTTCTTCCCTTGCCCTGCTACTAGAACTCCTTCTCCTATTCCTACTCCTACTCCTACTCCTACTCTTACCCCTCCTACTACTACTACTACTACTACGACGACGACTAGTACTACTAGTACTACTAGTACTACTAGTACTACTGCTGCTGGTACTACTGTGAGTTTTCCGGACCGTTTCCGGACCGCGCGAGCTTATTTTGTTCCCAAATTTGAAATCGAATGCGTTCACGCATGGATCCTCATTATATAATACATAACTTATATTTTATGTATATGATCTGATCAACGAAGAACAAACCCTTCCGCGATTGCTCACTGTGGTACCGCGGTTGCTACGCGATTGGCTGAGCGATTGAGGGCTGTCCGGGAAAAGGTATTTTGGACAACCCCCATATATATACATTATAGAGTGCTTGGAATCGCCATGATGAAATCAATCTTAGTCACCTGGCGAAGGTTCATGATTCATTCGCGGAAGATCCTAAACCTGGCTGAACACGAAGCGCTAGGCCCCCAACGGCCATCCTTTGCAGGTCGGATCAGCTCCAGAAAGTGTGGGTGTGTCTGAAATGGGGTACACCCCCCAAAATTGCCTTTTTAGTAAGGAAAATGATCATGCACCATTGGATTTATGGGTACCCTATTTTCAGAGCCTATTTTCTCCTGGTGTCGTGCTGACATGCTGTCGATTCGGATTCCTTCGGAGACCAAACGAAAACCATGGTTGACACAGTTGACACATGTTGACACATGTTCAAGCTGAAAGGACTTGCCACAGTATGGTTCATCGAACTTTTAGCCATAGTGAACTTGGTCGGAACTACAACTCCATTGAGGCAGGCTTCGTTTTGGACAAGCAGTTCTCCAGAGCAGCAGTTGGATCGACTGATAGCAACTCCCAAAAAAAACATCTTACTTCCATAGCGGCATCGTACTTTTCTACCCGTTTGGGAGTTCCTACAGAGAATCAATGATAATCGTAGAGATAGTCTCATTGCGTATCATATTTTATCTCTCTTCCAACATGTGCGAGCTGATGTTTGCATCTTTCTGTGTTTGCGTGTATGGCCTGGTCGCATTGCTTCAGGTGCATGATTGAAGGATCCTGTTCATGAGACTGCCCTACGGCCCCTATCCCATGATCCATTCCTATTTTCCCGTCACTCCAGGCTTTGGAGGAAGCAGGTGAGCTGCAGAAATATTTGCAGCTGCTTGGACGAATCTGGGCATTCGCTTTGGTGGCTACATGTTTTTCTTAGGTTTCAACATGTTTCAAGATGTGTTTCAACCATAGTTTGGATATGTTTGGATGATGATCCCTCATGACAAACATATTTCTGCGACGGGCTGAAATCACAAAAATACATAAGAATCCGTGTTTGTTTTTGAGAAAGATGGAGAAGTAGAACCTGCCAAATCACCCACAGGGAAACCCATGGTAGTCGTGGATGTTCAGGTTGCGAAGACCCTGGGGAGAGATTCAAAATCAGTCAGGCAGGGGTGTTGCTGGTCAGATTTTAGCAAGGACCATTTCCGGAGGCCTGACCTCCAAAATCCATCAAAATCCTCTGAAGACATCTTGACAGGAAAACCCCCGTGAAAACCCCCATGAAACTCCCAATGTTTGCTCGGCCACAGGCCGATAAGCAGGCCTTAAGGCTGCCAAGGCTGCCAAGGGAAACCGTTCATGGTCCTTGGAACAGCCAAAGTGTGGATTTAACCATCAGAAATTGGGATTGAACCAACGCAAAGTGGGGAGAACAACCAGCTATTTGGATTTGAAGACCTTGAATAATTCATTACCGCGTCTTTGTCGAGTCATACCAAAATTGTTATGGGCCAACATTGGGTACCAATCAGAATTCAAGCAACGTTGGATGGGGATTTCCGGGTTTGACCAGTGAGACGAGCATGGACGGCTGAAACCCATGGGTCGACTGGTTTGCTGGGCAAATTGAAGTGCTTTGGCGTCTACAAACAAGTGGAATTATAGGGCAGAGCCAAGGATGTAGGGTAGACCCATCGACTTCATTGCCTGCCATCCCCACCAGATGATCCCATGTTCATCTTCAGCGTCTGATGACTAGGGCACTGGCAGGTTGCCTGCCAGCTAGTGTACAGAGCCCTGCAAGGGATTTTCAGGTGTGATCAAGTTTTGAAACATCACCTCCATCTTCCAAAGGAGGATCCCATCCCAAGATTCGGTTGGCAAATTAGTAGAGGATGTAGTCTAGAGAATGTGCCCCACCCTCAACGGTGGGGAGCTCCCAAGTAGAGTGTTCATCAAGTTTGCCAAATCCCTGTCAACGGCTCTTACTTTGTTCATTTCCCTCAGCACTTGAACACTTGAGAGTCCAGCAAGAAAGAGTTCATGTCCGATATTGACGGAAGGAGTGCAAGTGTTGAGCCCCTTGGAGCCCCAAAAGAATCCAAAAGATGTTGACATTCTTCGCCAAGTTAAGGCTTGTGGGATGAGGATCAAAATGGATCAAAGGGGCGGCCGTTGCGAGAACACATTGCGACCGCGCCCATAGCTGCAACATGCGCCAAGCCGTGCAGGGCTGAAACATGCTGAAATTGGCAGCAAAAATCCATCTGCTCCGATTCCATACCTTCGCCGGTTGATTGATAAATCAAGGGGTACCCTCTACTTGAAAAACCAATAGGTAAATGATTAAAGGAAAGAATTTGAATATATATATATATACAGAAGAGTATAAATGATTGTAAATGTTAAATACATACCAATGGCATACCAAATCGACTCGTCTATGTTTTCCCTGAAGGGCGTCGGTGCCTCAACTGGTTCTACCCTCCTGCCAAAGGTGGTGCAGATTGACAGATTGCCAGGTGGATGTCATGATTTTGCAGAAAAGGTTTCCAAGTTCAATGTGGCATTTGGCTACCACTTGCTTCTTATGATATGTGCATGATCATATTGTACTATACAGTAGTATTATATAATGAGAATATAATATATAAGTCTTGGTATTTTGGTGGTATGGTTGAAATTGCTGGTGTGAGCTGATTTGGTAAATACTTACCTTGCTTCGGCATACATGATGGCCGAAAGGGAAACCAGCCCAGGATTCTTTCAGGCCCACTCGCACCTGCCAGGGCAGGAGCTCACTTGAAAGAAGAGGGGTCATCTCAGGTGTGTTTCATAATTCAGCCATATTCAGCTATGATAGAAGATTCTCCATAGTCATGAAGCTGGTTTCATCTATGGTCCTTGAATAAGGCGTGTCAGAACCCCCTCCCTTAGCGTGCTCGACGTGTGCCATGTTTGCTCCAGCTGGGGCCATCAGCGCCCAGAGCGCGTGGGGACGGCCATGGCGGACGCTACCCATGATCATCTCTTTAAGTTGTTCATCAAGCTTTGACTTCAGTGGCCGGTGAATTCACATGGTGAGACCCCGAAAATTGGCGACGGAGTACTGACTTCAAAAACCATGTGAGGTCACCAGTGAGGCCAGTACCTTTTTATTTTCAATTTTTACAGCGCAGGTGAGTGGTGGTATTGACACGTTCTATTTCTGATAGGTGAGATCACGCATTGCCAAGTAGAATCCCGGGCAGAATTGTATTCAGCCATTGACGGTCGTCGGACGAATCATGTCTTGTAATCTCTCTGAAAAGAATAAAGACGATCATTGATCAGAAAACCCATAGTCGCCACCTTTTTCAATTTGGGGGTTCAGACATCCATTCCTACTATTTTGGGTCCTAAAATCTTCTCACATCCTCCTGGTCGTGGTGCAGGTTTTGGTATATTATATGTTGTAATCGCAACAGCTTTCCTTTAGGTGGTACTGCACCTGTACCAGAATTTGATGAATGGCAATTTATAGGAAACCTCATATTATTTGATGGTAAAAACGTTGATTTCCTGTAGATTTTCCCAAGAGAACCAATACAATGAACCTTCTCCCAGGTTGATCATTGGCGACTCTGGCGTCGGGAAGTCTTCAATTCTCTTGCGCTTCTGTGTGAAGCCCAGTTATGACCTAGGGGGTTATTAACCTACCTGATTAATTGGTATTTTTATATCGTTTTATATCCCATTTCATGGGATAATAGGGATATTTCTCATGGCTCACCTGCCTTCAGCATTTCTTTAATCTGTTCTGCTTAGGATATCCCATTGTACCTTTCCTCCGTGCAGAATTCTGGTGATCTCAAACAAAGGTTGGCTAACATCTGCTGCAATGCCAGACTGACCTGCGGAGTCTATTCATGTACTGTAGCTGAAGCCTCTTTGGGTCACTGTCTTGATTCATGTTGGTTTATCTTGGTTCCATCTATTTTGTCAGATGGTTCCCCGTCTTGATTGAAACAAAAGACAAAGTCACAGATGTCACAGCCATAAGACGGTTGAAGGTCCATGAGTCCATGGCCCTTGTAGAGTCGCCGTTGTTCAACAATCCGTGCCTTGTTGTTATGCTCAGGTGACGATGAGTTCAATGAAAAACAAGCCTCCACCATTGGTCCGAACCTTGGCATGGCGACTATGGGCGACCATGGGCGATTTCTGGCTGGATGGCGATTTCAATACATTCCAGCTTCGTTGAGGTGAAAACCATAAAAGACAATCATAATTTCGATACATCCCAGATATTTTGATACAATCCCCATTTCAATCTGTCAACATTTGTCAACTTTGCTCCCCACCAGAAAGGTGTGGACTTCAAGACCAAGTTCATGCAGGTCAGAGGGAAAAAACTGAAACTTGCCCTCTGGGACACTGCCTCAGCTCCAGGAAGCCAGTTACTGCCAGCTGATGTTTGCCATCCACGTCCCTGGAAACCAGGGCTTCAACGGTATGGTGTCACTCTGTCACAACAGAACTATACAGAAGAACCTGATCCGCCAAAGAGACACTATCAATTTTTGCTGTGACATTGAGATGCTACCAGTACCCGTTCAGGCTTGACCGGGTGTCCAAGCTTTCGAGAGCCATGGGGGTAGGGGGTAAACAGACACTGTACCTCCGTCATCTCTGGATATGGCATGGTACTGGCTCAATGTTGAACACCTAAATTTGATAGAGTTTTCGAAGTTTGGTCCATTGGTACTAAAAGCACTGGATGTGATATGTAATGATATTAATGATATAATATGCATATCATATATATATATATATTTGGGGGTGCGTTCATAAACCATGTAGATTATTTTTTGATGTTATAATATTCGTTGATTTTATCATATCTTATCCATCTCCTGAGGCACGATCCCGCTCAGGACACGGCAGGACAGGAACGTTTTCGAACGCTTACTTCGTCGTGAGGGGCTTACATGTTGAGATGCCGCTGGTCGTGGCAGTTGATTGCCAAATATGTTCCAAAATGATCCATCTAGATGATGGATTGGGATATCATCCCCAAATGGCGGAACGAATCTGGTTCGGGAAATTATCTAATCTATTTACTATTTACTATATATAATACAATACTATTGGATACTATTAGTATCTATTAGTATTTAATATAATTTCCCCAGACCCATGGTGAATTTGCTGACTCTCCCTAGTGGTATCCATTTGTACTGCATGTGGCCACTGCTGTTTGGGTCAATGTCATTGCATCCTGCTGACCTGGGACCCCCGCTGTCTGTTCCGAGGTACTACCGTGGTGCTCAAGGAATTATCCTTTGTCGCTTGGGCATCACAAGTTTCCCAAGTTTCCAACATGGCAGTGTGTCAAAACCTTGTACCCCTTCTGTTCACATCAAAATAGCTGATAAATGGATGTTCATCCCCCTAAAAATGGTATTAATAGGTATTGATCCATACCCACATGACGAATATCCTTCTGGAAGGGTTGGTGATGATTGAAGACTCTAATGGATTTACATTGACAGATTGCAGAATATGTTCATGAATCTTGTCGCTGCTGATTGTGAGTTTGACATCACTTGAATCACCCGATCTACATTCATTTCAAACTGCAGCGGCAGCTAGTTGATTTTGATGTCCTGCCCGCTGGAAACAAAGCCCATTACTGGGATACTATTGCCTGACCCAACATGTTCCATCGGAGCATTTGGTTCTCAAAGTCACAGGTTCAAAACCTGCCAAGTTTGGCCACGGAGACCTGTCGAGATTCTTCTGAGACCAACCTCAAGCGATTTATGGCATGTGGTACACAACTCTGCGGGATTTGTACGCACTCATGGTGAGTTTTCTCCATGTCAACTACGTGTTTATTCACCCCTATGCTGTTTTATTTTGGGGTACCATTTTTGTATATTTTAGTGGTGGATTATCACCCGGGGAGCAACCCCATTTTTAATCCACCAGGTTCCATCGCCAAGGCTATGACTGCACCCAGAGGAGCACTTTCGACCATGTGAAGTTCTGGCAAGATGAAGTTCGAAGGTCAGGATGGTCAGGGCTCGGAAAGTGGCGATCTTGGGACCATTTTTAAGGGGCCACAGTTCTGATAGTCCTGGCTATGTACGAGCCGCATCCGTTCACAGTTTGGCTAGAAAGACCTTGGCACGGATGGGTTTCGTTGAGGGTTTGTAGGCTCTCCGGTCCAGATGCCACTGCTTCGTCAGCCAGGTATTCCACCAATCAGGATGCTATCCTGATGCTTGTGTCAAACAAGGCTGCCTGGATATGTCAAATGGCTCTTGGGGTTACCGAAGCATATTTGGAGACTTTGGAGCATGGTCCTTCCTGCAAGGTAGATGTAGAGACACTGATGAACAGGAGTGAGAGCAGTGCTTTAATTTGTCACTTCTCAGTTTGCAGATGTCAAGCAATCCTATCTAGAAGACATTGAGTTCCGGCCAGCTGCCACAGAAGTTGAAATTGAAGCTGGCATGACTCAACATCTCCGGGATTTTCTGTGGTCATTTGTGGTCCAAGCATGTTTCAGTCTTGAATGGTCCAATTGTTGACAATTGTTGACAACTGTTGACAACCGTGAATGAAATTTGTTTTTTTTGTACTTGTACCAGAGTATGTACCAGCATCATCCAGCATCACCATCGTTGCAGGTGGATTTGCCAGATCAGCAGGTGTCAAGAACCGAGGGCGAGGAGCTTCCGGGCCCTGAAAAGTGGAAGATGCTGGAGGATGTTGGAGGATGTTGGCAGCTTCATGTTGAAGTCTAACATGTCTAACTATTTGGGATTATGCGTTTGGTTTGGGAATGTTTGGGATGATGGATTCACATGGATTCAGATACAGATGAGTTTTCCGCGCCAACGGTGGGAAGCTTTCTTTGGTGACAGATGCTGCACAATTCTCAAGCTTCATGCTACCATGTCCCCTCAGAGGAACCGCCCCCAAGACGAAACAACATCCTTCAGACATTATTCTGAAAGCCTCGCCTAGCTACTCTATGTGTTTTTTCTATCTATATGGGATCGCTTCCATTCCAAGCATGATGGGATGTTTGTGTTTTCCATGTTTTTCAGTATAGGATCATGTTGATGAAATCAGAAGAGCAGGGTTGTTGAGAGCAGATCTTCAGAAAGTCTTTCTTTGGGTAGTCAGAACATTTGCTGAGGTATTTTGTTTAGGTCAGAATCGTCTCTGGGACACACAGATTAGTTGTGTGTTCTTCGGTAAACTCTGTGCAGTGGAACCATGGCAAAGATCCGCCGGATTGGCAAATCAGCTGCTGACTGACTAGATGGAATACCCAGACCCCAGACCGTGGCGCAAGACACATGCCGTGGACGCCGGAATTCGCAAGGTTTAATTCTTAACAATTCTTAACAGTCATAAGGGGAACCACTCCTTGTGAACCAGGGATGATTATCTAAGTTTCCGGGACTTGGAAACTTGGAGCTGCAATATTATACCCCGTTCATATCCCGGATCCAAGCCAAAGATGATCTTCACACCCACAACTGGCTGCTGATGGAGGAATTTGCTTTCGCCCAATCAATGATGTTTATCGAGACCAGCGCCAAGACGAGGTGGGAAGAGGGAGAAATGAAGATCATGAACTTTGTCCTGGGACGGTACTGGTGGCTAGGAGTAGTGCGCGTGCAATTCCGTTCGTGAAATTAATAGGAGCATGCAAGATGAAAGTAAATCCTGTTCGCACCTTTGGCTGAAAGCCCCAAGTCAAGTACTATATGGGTACATATGTATGCTCGCCATGTTGCAATTCCTGCACCACTCTTACACTGGTACACTCCATGAACATAATATGGGCATAAGTTCTGTGTGGGTTTGAAGACACTGCAAAGTGATTCCCCACACCGGGCTTGTTTCATGCAGTGAAAGGGAAAATTGCATGAAATGCTTCATCCTGCTAGTGTCTGCATGAAGTTCGTGCATAGATAAGCACGGATCCTTTAGAGATAGATTGCTTGCGTCAAATTCTAGAGATATGAAAAAGGGATAAAAAGGGAGCATTTTTGTGGGTCCTTTGCTAGCCCGTGTTTGAGCATGTTTGAGCCATATCCATTTCAGTGCATGGCAATGCTTGCGTTCCTTGCTCTGGTTGCACGCAGTGCCTCAAGGTGGTTGCCGGAATAGCCGCTATGGCACTTGCAAAAAATGGTCGTGCGAAACCACGGAAATCCCCACCATGATTTCCTGTTCCACTGAACATGGTGTTTGTTCATTACCATGTTGCGTTGCCATAGGGTACCTGCGACACATTTCAAGCAGCAAACTGCCAGGATCTCTTCTCCTATCAGAACCATCCAAATTTGGCCCAACGGCTCCATAGCCATATCATACCAAATTGTGTGTGTGTACCCAATGGCATATTCCATTCCTTATGGCTTAGACTGACAGCCTCAAAGTATCCCAAAGTTCTTGGCCTTTGATGCTCCGTCGATGGGCGCTGACCCTGGCGACTTGGCAGCAGCTTTGGCTGGTGATTCATATAAGGTACTCTCCTGACCGTTGACATGGACGTTGAAAATTGAGAAAATGTACGTGTAAAGTACGAATTAGTATGAATGAATATACATATAAAACATACATATACAATCAATAACAATCATATATAAATACATGTATATACATATATATATACACATACATGTATTTATAATTTATATATGTATATATATAGTATATATAACTGATATATGTACATACACATATGTTTGTATCATACACAGAAATATATTACATTATATTATCATATTCTGCATATTCCATGAAATCCCTGGCTTGGCACCACCTGTGTTCCCCAGGCAGCAGTGGTGTTGGGCAGCGAGCCCGTGGGACCTATGCGACGATGTGCCGCGGCTGCAGGCATTGATATGTGTATGAATATACATGGCAAGTTTGAAAATGTACTCGTATTATATAATATGTTCAAATCACATATATATATATATATACACATATATATATATGCTTAATGTGTACACATGCATACGCGTGATGTGACGTGACGTGACGTGACGTGACTTCACGTGACGTGATGTGATGTGATGTAGTGTAAACTATGTATGCATGCACGCACGCACGCAGGGAGGTACGTAATGGTATGGTATGGTATCGGATTGGATTTGATTGTGCTGTGTCGTATTGTATGGTGTGCACGGATGTAGGTAGGAAGGTATGTATGTATGTTATGTAATGTAATGGTATGGTATGGTATGGTATGGTAAGGTATGTATGTAATGTATGTAATGTAATGTAATGGAATGCAATGCAATGCAATGCAATGTAATGTAATGTAATGTAATGTAATGCAATGTATGTATTGTATTGTAATGCAATGCAATGCAATGCAATGCAATGCATGTATGTATGTATGCAATGTAATGTAATGTTATGTTATGTACTGTACTGTACTGTAATGTAATGTAAGGTAATGTAACGTAATGTAATATATTTTAATGCAATGTAATGTAATGTAATGTAATGGTATGTAATGTATTGTATTGTATGGTATGGTATGGTATGTATGCATATATATATATATACACTTGTGTGGTCATGATATCAGAATCATGTCTATGAATATTTGAATACTACATCCGTCCTATATTATATAACCATATAGTGATCGCAAACATACTGCTACTGTTAGTGACCATGGGACCTGGGGCTGAGGTGCTCTCCTTCCTTCCCGTGTGGATGGGAACAAAGCCATGGATCCAGTGGTCTACTTGGTGCGGCATGGACAGTCCACTTGGAATCTGGCGGCCAAGCGATTGGATCTTTGGACCATGTTTTCTCAGGCGTGCAGACAGACCGGCTTCAGCCGGTGGTAAAGTTCCGGATCGTATGATTGGTGAATTAAGGAGTTGAGACCATCTTGAACTGTTTTCCCATATTTTCCCTATTTCGTTGAGGGTTCATACTTTTGACCCCGTCCACCGTGATGTTTCTTGGCGCTCCAGGTAGATCATCCTCTGACTCCAGAGGGTGTGGCACAAGCAAAGCGCCTAAGGGACCTTGAAGAATTTGCATCTCGGCCGGGGATGGGATCCCAGTCATATCTTGTCTCATACAGCCGCCAAGGGTATGTCACATACAGCGTGTATATATATAATATTTATATATATATATATATTCACATTTATATGTATACACAGAAATCCCACATTCTTATTGGGATGGGAAAGTGAGTGCCAAAGAAAGAGGGTTGTTTGGTACTTGAACTGAACAATGACAAGAATGAAAAGGTTCACGGGTCAGAAATTAGAACGCGTGTGTGATGAACGGTTTTTACCATCGAGCAATTTTGGATCATGCGATTTTGTCCCAAATTCACATTCGCTTCGCTCCGGTTCAGGTGTCACCAACGAAAGATAAGTATCATCGCACCTGTTGCCAGCATTCTATAGGAAACCCAACTCAATTCAAGAATTCAAAAGCTTTGGTCAGAGTTTGTAGGTCCAGTTTTTCTCAGATTTTGATGATTTTGGTCACCTCATGAAACCAAAGATCACAGAAACCTCATCTAGATTTGATCAGAGCCATCAAGTCGAAATCGGAATGGAATGAGTTTGGTACATTAAAACGCTACACTACTGGTCAGGGTATTCCTTAAAATGTTTATTTTAATGTGGAATATGATGATAAATGGTTTGATCAATTTTTTGGGGTCATGCTAACACCATATGTTAAATTAACTGGTAATCCTTCACTGAGCTGGCAATGTTCACATCATGTGATCCCTGCTGACGGCGCCCTTAGAAGACATTGTCTTCCTCACCAAAGAGTCGAATCTTTTCCTCGCCCCTGACCCGCGCAGTTCAAACCACAGTCGTGGCAGCTGGCACGAGGATCTACGGTGGATAAGCTGGGATGAAATCATGTGGCTTTGCGATGAAGGTCGAATTTTTAGATTCCACATGATTCCACACAATCCAAAGATGTTTGTCATTTCTAGTAGTAAACCATCCTGTATGTAGATGATTAATATGTATGAATGATCTAATTTGCAATTTAGGGTACCCAATTTTGACTCATCCCCATCATACATCAGAAAGCTTGGTCTGGGGACCAGGAATTCAGCACACAGGTGTGCAACATGGACGTTGGGTGCTGGATAAGAACAATGTTGTGAAACAATTCCAACATATTTTAGTCCAGTTCCAGTTGGGGCTATATATAACCCACTTACTTATTGGGGTGAACCAAGTACCACCTCCTTTTCACACTTGGTATATCTTGGTATACCTCCAACTTCCGATGTGTCCACCACGAACCACAGGAGCTTGACCTTGCTGCCGGACGCCCGCGAAATCGCTTGGCCCTTGGCCGGACCGGATTCGCGCAGCCGGTCCATGGGAGAGGAGGTCTTGCGGAGAGCCTTGGACGAGCTGTCTCAGGTGGGATGCCACATGGAGATATATGGAGTACAAGGTTGAATCCATAGAGTGTGTGAGAAGATGCAGTCATTTGTAATCATGTGCATATGATATCTCAAGATATATGTATATGTATTATATATATATATTTATATTTATGTATATCATGTCAAGAGACCTGGAACATATTCCTTTTTCATATTCTTGAAGGCCTAAGGCGTGCTTTTGTTTGGATATTTCGGGGTGGAAATTGTAATTTGCGGCAAAGAATTCGCACTAATTACAGGTGTTTGTAGACTGTGAATTCATGTGAAATGAAATGAAGGGCGTGCTAAAGTGGATGTTTTCCCAGAAATCCATATATATCGAAATTGCGCGAAAAAAAACCGCTGAAAGTGTGCTCCTTTGAACGCCAAATATAGATCATGATCAATAGTTGATTATTTCGCCAATACATAATATACGTATATATGTTGTTGTCAGTCCGAAGCACTAGGATTCGATGTCAGGAATCATGTCTCTTTCGTTTGATCGATGAAGTATGGACCTAATGGATGCCCATGGGAAATCGGGGCTCTGGCGCTTGGCAGGTGGATAAGTACCACAAGCCTGCAGTTCTTGCAGATCCTCGCTTTGGTGGGCGAACAGAGCCCCAAGATTCCGTTCAGATGGTTTCCACCGTGGCATTGGACTGGGCCCGTGAACGCAAGTCCCCTTCCATGGGGATGTTGGCATGATGTTGCAGGTGCAGTGCCACACTAGTTCATCGAATGCGTATTTATATGTATATGTGCTATCTGAGGAGTCCATGAAGGTTGATGCATCTCGTGTGGCTAGCACTTGGTGGAGCAACTTTCGAGAGCCCAAGCAAGAGATGTTGACCAGGCAGGGGATGGAGATGCCACTGCTGGTTCCAGTTGCCATGATTGGCAGTGAACTCGGATCAGGGTAAAGCGGACGAAAACTCGGTTGGGACATGTTATGACATGTTGAGATGTTCCCTGAAGATCCCGGAGATCCCTGAAAGTCCCTGAAGTATCAGGGTATATCTGATTGGTGAGTTGAGAACGTTAGTTCACCAAAAACGCCATTGGGGGTAGGGCCCATTTACTGACCATGGTTGACGATCAGGAATCAAGGTGGGATGCTGGGTTCCTGTTGAGGCTCCAACGTCTCTTGAGAAGCCTTCGACCGCTCGGGGCGGAATGGAGCAGCAGCATTTTGGTGTGTCACAGCTTGCTGATCCAACGCCTCTTCAAGGACAGCGAACTGGGTGCGAAGCCCTGGACCTTCACAGGGCGTGTTTCAAAACGCAGTTTTGTTAAGATCTCACGCTGCAGTTTCAGGATATGTTGTGGTGACTCGCTTGTCAAGTTTGAGTGTTAATCTTGTGGCCACATTAGTTCAAAGCTCTTGGGCTTTAGATTTCCGACTTTTGGCATCCATTCCCAGGTAGTCAGACAATCGGTGACCAGCCACTTGGCCAGGACTTTGCGTCCACTGAGTTGGAGAAGGCTTCTCAGAATGGATATGTCAAGTTCGGGATATGGTGGATATGGTGGACCCGATATAGAGATTTTGGGATGGCCTAAAAATGAAACCAAAAAAATTACCCAATGCCCAATGATGGCTAATTTCAGTACACTTGTAGCTCCCCTGAGACGCCAAGTTGTAGGTTCTTCCCCATTCATGTTGGAAACACCATCATCGACTGATGTTTTTGAGATTGATGTTTCAAGCAAGACTGAAGCTATACAATCGATCCTTTCTGAGTTTTGCAAAAAAAATACAATCGATAAGACTAAATATGACTAGGACATACTTGTACTAGGTGTGGTTTACTCGTAGTTCACCACTGTCACCACCTGACCTGACTGCTGGATTCGGAGGAGAAGTCCCAACTCCTGGAAGATTTGCGCCAGAGGAAGCTGCAAAATTGCGGTGCCTTGTCCAGAAGAGCTTGGGGAAATTTATATAGGTGTGTCTGAAAATTGGGATACCCATGAAATGACAGCGTCAATGGGGAAATGAAATAACAAAGAAAAACATCAATTTCCGGAATATCCGATGTTCATCGATTTTCCGACACCCGTGCGTAATTATTTGTTGTTTGATTTCTAGAGCCAAAACTATGTCGATGTTATTGGATTTCTAGCCATAAATGGAGCGAATGGAGTGATTTATTTGTAGCAAGTTCTTCGTAGGGGTATACAAGATTCGCCACCAGAAACATTGGATGGCCACCCAGAAAAGTGTTTTGATCATGACCCATAGTTTGATTCAGTGCTTAGTTTGATGCGAGTTGCAATCCTGGTTACGATCCTGATATGGCAGTGGGTGATAGTTTCTGATTCTTGTGTGAATCACGTCGTGGGCTCTTTCTCGGTGGGCTTTTCTCTGCTTTAAGATCTCACAGATTCGGTTGTAGATGTCTATGCAACTTGCATGAAAGGCAGTACTTGGGATTGAGTAGACGTATGAGTCAATCTTTGCCGGCGAAAAGTTCAGTAATTGTCGGCATTTGGTGCGGTGTTGGAACTGTCAACCACACTTTGCAGCAAGTGAAAAGTTTGGAATGGAGTTTCCATGATTTTCCCGCTTGTCGAGTTGCAATGAGTTTTGGTGACTTAAGTGAGCATCCATCACCATGCCTGTCCAGCATTCAATCGAAACTTTGGCAGGTGTAGTGAAAGTCTCTCTGGATGATGCCAACCTCATCAAGGATGCAGAGCTTGTCTTTGACACCAAGTTGGTTTGACCGCGCCACTACATCCATTGCTCCCGAATGGGCACCCATGATGGTTCAGGTCACGTTCGGCAACGTCGGCTTGCTGGAAGTGTTCATCGTGATGACTGTGAAGCAGGAGATTCTTCCAAGCGCGCTGGCTGAACCAAACTGGCAGCAGAGCGTCTAGAGCATCGCGAGCGTCGCGACTGCGGATAAAAAAACGGATTGGCCGGCCTGGCACCATTATCTCACATGAGCATCCCCGTGTGTCATAAGTACTACAAAGCTCGAGTTGAAGAACACACCATTTATATATATATACACAATTATACACATATAATTCATATATATATATAACCTGTTTGGGAGACCCTACTGACTGTGTGTTGTCAACTCAGGATCCTTAATGAACTGTTTACTATTTGTACCTCGCAAGATCATGATCAATGTGATATGTATGTACAATATGCAAAATCATAAATAGATACTTATCTACAGGTATAATGTATAAAGATAAGTAGATATATCTATATCTTTACTATAATAGCATGTGATAGCATGCAGATCTAGGAGACAAAACATGTGTTTTGTTCTATGATTTCCATGGTGTATCCAAAACCATATCCAAAACGATATCCAGGCAAGGAATTAAGCAGGCCTTTGAGGAGGTGGTCTTCAAAATCCTGGACACACCTTCCTTAGTGCAGAGCCGGGAGCCCAAGGGAGCCCCGTGCTGCGGCAGTGGAGTGGGAAAGAATAGACGATTAGGATGTTGCCATAGAAATTTTGACGTTTTTAGGCGGTGGGACATTGACATGGTAGGACCGAAAAAGAATGAAAGCCATAACTATTCAGAACATTTCGAAGCCCGATTTAATGAATCGCAGGACAGGAATTCTTCTTGTTGTGGTGATTGTTTGGGGCAGACCACCCGTCACTAAGTGTGACTTACCCATAACAGTTGGGCAATACAACCTATCTAATTACATCATATATCATCATATTAGATCTACATAAATTAGTCTTTTTATTATATGTATTTATTATTCTATATTGTTCTATGATTGTGGCTGTTCCTGTCCATTGGATCCATTGGGCCGATCCAGCAGATCGCCAGGCACTCAACCATTGGGCACCAGGCAAGTGGATGCGAATAGCCAGCGGCAGGCGCAAGGGCGCTTGGGCAAGGAAGTGTTCGCATGTCGTAAACATAAATGATTCATATGATTCATATGAGTATTAATCATCATTTTTTCCTTGAAGAAAAGGTGTATCCTTTGTTTGATGGCACCTTCAAAACGTTGTCATGAGCAAAGCTTTACAGACAGAGTTCTGAATTGCGCGAATACTCATCAGTGAAGCAAATGTAGGATGCCATAGGTTGTGGGAAAATGCATTCATTAGTGAATAAGGGTTGATCGAGCATGGGTTCGGAGGAAGTCTGCGGTGAAACACTCCAGTTTTTCTTTCTTAAATCTCTGTTTATTTCCGCTTAAACAATACATTTCATTCTAGATTAACGGTTGGAATAAATATAAACGCGCAGTGCCAGTAGTCAATCTGTGGGTGATCTGAAATGATATCAATGCGGTGAAAATCGTGGACATCTAAAATCATCTAAAGCTTGGATATGTGTTCTATTCTTTTTTGATATCTTTTGAATATGTTTGAATTATATTCTGTTGCAGAGATGATGGTTGCGCCTCTCCAGCTTACCACAGCCAGGCCCCAGCAGATGGTTGCAACTGCTAACCCTGGATCCATCAGCGCAGAGCCGAGGCCGAGGATGGAAAGGTGGTGGTTTTCTCTTAGTTCTGAGTCCGGATTTCGTATTGGAATTAATGGGATAATGATGATGATCACAATGATCACACTAGTGATTATGATTATATATTATTATCCCATAATCTTTATATATCTTTATACCATAATAGATTATCATTATTGTCCCATTATAGTTTTGATAGTGGACATTTATGGTGGGCGCTAATGTGGCAGAAATTCATCGAAAAGATCGCATCCTGATGGAATTGGCAACCAGACACCGTGTCAAATCCTAACAGTGAATGTACACTATATGAAAATATATGAAAATATATGATAATATGTTTCAACCAGATGGGGTTTTCTCATTTTTCTGAAAGCCAAAAAAGGTTCAGTCAGATTTCCACGCCTTGCACGTGGATCCTCGGCCTCAATGGTGAGCTCAGCCAATCGCAGCCGCATAGACCTCTATTGGGGATGGTGACTATTTTTGGGAAATTACCATGGAAATTACCATATGTTTCAGCCATCGTTTGGCCAAATTTGAAAAAAGAGATGGTCCATCCCATGGCTTGAGGGATGGTTTGATCCATGAATCCATGTTGATCCGTTGAATCCAATGGTTGGGAGGTTTTTTGTAATATGTCACCCCAGTCGACAGAATAGTGAAATCACTCATTGAACACGGTAGGTTTTCGAAGGGCTTTCATTGAGAGCAACGGGCAATAAGTCACTGCCAAATCTGAAAGATGGCGCGTGTTTCTCCTTTGTGAACTGGAGAGCCGTCTACACGTCTAAATGTTCGATGGATGTAGATGGGCCATGTTTTGACTCATGTCAAGTTAGCTGTCTCTGACCATTCCATCCAATGGGTTAGTAGTAGTAGTAGTAGTAGGAGTAGGAGTAGTAGTAGTAGGAGTAGTAGGAGTAGTAGGAGTAGTAGGAGTAGTAGGAGTAGGAGTAGTAGTAGCAGGAGTAGTAGCAGTAGTAGCAGTAGTAGCAGTAGTAGCAGTAGTTCCACTTATTGTGATTTGCCCCAGCCCTAAGTTGCTCGGCTTCAGAGAGCGCATGGAAGATCATGGAAGGGATTTAGCGATGTACACTTGGAGGTTTACGCGTGTCAAAGCCTTTCTTGTTGGTGAATATGCAACTAGTATCCTACTGATGAACAACTATTGGTATAGGATTAGCCAAGAAGCCCGGGTAATCCCGGGTACCTCGGTTGGTTGAAATCAACAGGGTTACCTCATGTTAAGCCCAGTGACCCAATTGTCGCGCTGTCTCCAGTGCTCAGACGAGTCATTTTCCCTGCTCATCGCTGGCTCGGTCGTCACCGGTAGTCGTTTCCCCAGGCGTGGCGCGTTTTCAAAGGCGTCATCCCCTGAGTTTCACGGAAGCCCAGCACGTGATAATAATATTAACATAGAGTAACATACATGGGGATGGGTCAAAACCCTGGTAGCTAGTGAACCCCAAAATAGCTGGTAAATGGATGTTCATCCCACTAAAAATGTATCTATAGGTATTGACCCATACCCTCATCAACTTTCAGAATGGCAAGTGCTCAAATAACTTGTTATCCTTGCAGGCAGTTTGGAGAATTGGTTTCGGGTGTGGGATCGTTTTGGAAGTTGTTTTTTGCAGCAGGGGGTGCATTAAACATTGGCTTACGATTTTGTTGGATTAACTTCCCTTGTCACACAACAGAAGTTAAGCCGGAGGGAACTTGAGCGGTCTAGTGAGCCTATTCGTCAATAGTAGATATAGTAGAGCCCAAGGGTTGGGAGTGCCACTATGTGTTTGATCATTCCATGTCACTACGCGCATGAAATGAATATGTCTCAAAGTTGTGAACCTCAAGGTCTAACATGTTGAATCATGTTGAACAGTCTATTTAGATGGTGATGATGCTGTTTATTGATATGTTTTCCGAACCCCAAGTGTGATCAAGTGTTGAATCATGTTGAACAGTCTATTTAGATGGTGATGATGCTGTTTATTGATATGTTTTCCGAACCCCAAGTGTGATCAAGTTTCGAAGCACCATGTTCCAGAAATGAAGAATGCCTATTAGGTGGACTTCGGTGGTGCTCTTTACAATCCTCGTTTAAGATTGCTTAATGTTCATTAAGATTTGTTAATGTTCATTAATGTTCATTAAGCACTGCTTGGAGATGTTTGCAGCTTGTCCCATGCCATGAGTTCTTGGCATGTGCTTCGGCCGCTCATGGCGAGCACAGTGCTATGGTCGGGTGAAAAAAACCGAAGTTTTCTGCCAGAAATGCTGTATACATATGGGGGTACCCCAATCGCTGGGTGGTTTATTTCATGGAAAATCCGATCTATATGATGTATATTGATGTATACTGTATACATACCAAGATATACCAAGACATGAGGTGATAAGACTGTCACAATACTTTGCTGATCACAAGATGGTGTGTGTGTGTGTGCCATGTGTTCGGCCATCTTAGATGGCCCCGTTGTTGGTCTCGGGCTATGCGAAATGGCCGAGGATTTGTTGGGATCAAACAGAAATGGCCAGTGGAGATTTGCCAACGAAAGCTGCTTGTGATTTGCCAATGCGTCCAGCCTGTAGACTGTAGAGGATTCGGGAAATCTTGCTCCAGCTGAGACTGGTTCCAAAGAGACTGGGCCAGCCGAGACATAGAAAGCTTAATTGGAAGTATTCTTAAACCATTCTGTGGCCAGAAAAAGAAGGAGACGGGCCGAGTTCCACATACTGTAACCTCGTTGTCCTGTCTAAATTGGTAAATTTCCCTTGCGTAAATTGGAGTTCCACAATAGAACCCAAGCCTCCATCAGACTTGTTGGCGATTCAAAGTACAAATGTTGATTCCATTGATTCCATTGATCCAGACTTGCAAACAGCATCAAACAGTCAAACAGCTACATGAAAGTATGTGCAACCAGGGAGGCACCGAACCATGGATCATCACTGGCAACTTGCCCTAGAGATATCTTTTTAGAGTCCTCTTCGATACCAGCCACGGCTTGTTCAACAGTGACCCAGATGTGGAATGATGTGGCCATGGCTTTTGCAGCTGCTGATTCCAGGCTTTCTCATAACATTGAGTGAGGATTATGGCTCAGAGGCTCATAACAGATTCAATAGATAGAAAGGATGAAAGGTTTGTGCAAACAGGACTACAGTGGTTGGAGTGTCTGATGAAGAGTATCTTACCTTGACAGCTTGACAGGTGCCTCGGGGAAAGTGGCAGTTGTGAGCCTCGCCACCAACGACTACTACGTTGGGCGCCCTAAGGGGCACCCTGCATTCGTCCCCATCCTCCATGAAGTCGGCAGGTGGACTAATAATGAATAGTACAGGTATACAAAGATACAGCATGGACATGTTTCGAGGTTTAGACCAAAAACTGCAGAGGTAGAGAAATAAAGAGAGTGACATTGATACATACAGAATCATACAGAGATCTTTTAATTTTTTTATAGACATTTATAAACATTTATAAACGATATTCAGTGGGGATGTTCTGGGATGTTCCTTTAGTTTGGGCGCAAAGGATGACCATATCACTGTGGTTGTGGTCTCCAAGGCGAAGGGCGCCTTTGTGGCGTTGCACTCTGCAGGGCTCCACTCAGGTGCACCATAGCCCGGAAGGATCCTTGAAGATGGCACCTTTTTTCGTTAAGACATCCAAATTGGTCCTTAATCACTCAAAACATCTCAAAATAGATAAAATAGTCTCAAAACATCACTCCAAATGTCCTGAATCTTTATGCATCTTGATGCCTTGATGCAAGTGTATGTTTGCATTTCGTTCTGCACAGCTCTTCGCAGCTAGTTCTTTGCAGCTAGCTGTTGCCAGGTGTGGACGTGGACAGGCTTCTGCTTGTTCCTGCCTCCAGCAAAATCTCTTCCGACTGGCTGCGCCGTTTCGAACGACTCAATATCAAGGCAGCCGTGCCTGAAAATGCACAAACACTGCGAGTAGATTGAAGAAACATCTTGGATATGGCATGAATTTGCGATGATCCCCACCTGACACCACCAACCAGTTTTGTCACATTTTGTCACCGTTTTCCCCACCTTGGAGATGAAGCTAGAATCTAGAAGTACCTACAGATCGAATCCCATCAGTTGCATGACATCTCATCGCCTTTGGGACGTGCCCCAAACTTCCAGACATTTCTGGCCAGGTGGTAGATGTGCCAGATGTGCTGCCCAGCTCTGTGTTGCAAGCGGCCATGGAGGCTGAGCGCCAGAGACTGCAACAGTGCCGCGGCCAGGCATTTCCGGGGCAGCGATCTGCGTCTGAGAGATGAAACATCCAGATTTATGACGATGATAATATAATTATAATATATATATATATACAGACATATATACATATTTCTATACAGGTTATAGCTTTATAAATGTCTATAGTCCAATAGTCTAGTAAAGTCTTTAATATTTAGGACATGACATTTAAATAACAGCATGTCACAGCCAGCTTCGAATCAGCCATCGCCAAGGCAGGGGATCTTGGAGATCTTGCAACCCATGCCCTACGGCGGTGCCTTTGCCAAGGCCAAGTCGATTTCGAAAAGGGACCCCAATTGGGGGAAGCAACTGACACTGTGAACAGTGGGGATACCTACAGGGATACCTACAGCAATAGTATGTAAATATGTGTAGTATCGATTATAGTGGATTATCGCGAGCTTATGGTTGATTTCCTACTTGTTGTGATTTTAAAAAAGCTGGCCAAAGCCAATACCATCCCGACCAATACATGGACCAATTTCTGAGGGGTCAACCTTGGTAAACCTTGGTGTACTCAACCTGAGAGACCGAGCGGCGAGGGACAAATAGTGCGAAGTAATGTATATGTATATCTACTGTACATATGTATATGTATGTATTATATAATATAATATAATATATATACATAATTTATATAACCATATAATATAATATAATATAATACAATATAATATAATATAATATAATACAATATGATAGAATATAATATAATATAATACAATATGATATAATATAATATAATATGAGATAATATAATATGATATAATATGATATAATATGATATAATATAATATGATATAATATAATATGATATAATATGATATAATATAATATAATATAACCTAATATAATATAATATAATATAATAATATAATAATATAATATAATATAATATAATAATATAATAATTTAATAATATAATGATAATATAATAATATATATATATGTATTCTATACATGGATTGTGATTATTAGAATCACAGGTTGTTTTATAAACATGTGCGGCACCTACTGCTCATCAACATAGTGCGTGCCAGCAGGAAAACAAACTTGCAACATTGTGCAACAGTGCTGACAACAGTTGAGCTTCTTTCAAACTGCTCATCGCCGTTCTCCCAGGTACACGCATGGGATCCAGCTTTGGGCTACGAGCCACTTGGACGCCATGATACCAAGATGGCCTGTTGAGATTAACCACTGGCGGTAACCCAATACAGGTCAGTCACCAACGATATTGTTAGTTCCACAATTGATATACATATACATGTGTATATATATATACACATATGCGTATGTATATGAATATGTGATAATGGTTCAAATTTCTGAGCTCCCGAAAGCTGCATGGTTTCCGTTTCAGCTACCCCGTTTGTACCCCAAGTGTAGCGGATACAACTCTGACCTATCCCATGATTTGGTACCATAAATTGGGAGTTCAATCAATGCGCATTTTCCCATGTTTCGCCGCCAAAAATGGCGGCGTTGGATGGATTTCGCAGATTTGGGGGATTGAACCTCCCATATTTATTGGATTAGTATGGAAACATTGCAGGAAACCCCAAACTACCGTATTTCATGATGAAAAAAAAGCATGGGTTGCCTTGCGGTGAAGATGTTCCCAAGCCAATCCATTTTTCACCGAGGAAGATCCTGTTGTTGGATGGGGATCTGCTGGTGAAACGCCGCCTCCGACCCCTACTGCGCCTTGAGCCGGTGAGTGCTGGGAAGGACAAAGTGGGGGGGGCCGGGGCAGGGTCCCATTTCATGATCATATTATGTTATACATGGGGATAGAATGGGGAAATAATGGGAAGATGGTAATTGGATGTAATTGGAATATGGGGATAGAATGGGATATTGATATACTGTAACCAGCCTAGTATGATCACTAGATGTGTTTGTGGAGGATAGTTACTCCAAACTTATCGCCATGTTGGTGGGAAAATGATGATTCACCAGGGATGGATTGGGATACCCTGTAGCAAGCGGATCCCCAAACATCAGGGGTCGTTGCTTGCGAGGACCTGAATGATGCATTCAACTATGGTGTGGTAGTGCTGAAGCCAGATGCAGTCATCCATGCAGGCTCCGTGGCAGATTGGACCAGAAGGGGACGGTTTTCGAATGTTTTCTAGAGGATCCTGAGGATTCTGTCGCAACGATGCGCAGGTTTGGTCAAGCTGTTGATGCACGCCTCTGAAGATGACTTGCGCCGTTACAATACTCGGATCTTGGGCTTCAAAACTGGCTCAGTGTTTCTCATTGTTCTTTAATTATTCCACGAATTAGTTCCCCATTATTCCCCAATTATTTCTCTGTTATTTCCCAATGATGTTCCTATTATTCCCTCATGATTTCACAATTGTGCGCCCATTATTTTCCCATTATTACCCAAGTATTCCCCCAATTATTTCCCGATTATCACTTCTTACTGTATATAATTATTTTCTCGTGATTTCCTCCCAACGCCAGTCATACGAAACGGGTGCTTTCGCCCAGGAAAAGCAGTGAGGTTGGCCTTTGCGACCAGACCTTGGTTGCTGGATATGTGGCGGAGAAGACGTCGCTGCACTTTTTTGAGGTCCGGGAAGGGAAGGGCAGTGACTGGCGGTTTCTTCGGGGAAATTCTAACTGGCACCCCTTTAAAAAAATCAGTTTCAGCTGTTTTTTGTGAATCGCATTTTTGCTGGAATAAATGTTCTTCAGATGGTTTCAGCACGTTTCAGCAAGCAGCGAGCAATTTTAAATAATTTTGATGGTGAATGCGTTGCTTGGATATGGTCTGGGACTGAAAATGTGTAACAGTATAGCCCTCCATGGGGGATTAGTTGGGCGTCCGAGATAGTGCGGATCGCAAACAAAGAGATGGCATTTCTTTACTCGAGAATCTTTGGACCAGACCAAATAGTATCAAATAGTCAGGAAGCGCGGACCAAAGATGCTGGCACTCCAAAGTTGATGTCCAGCGAGTTCAATTTAGTGGTATCCTACAGGGCCAAGGACAGACCACGGAATCCACAGTTGAGCAGTCGCTGATGGTCAGTCATGCACCTCTTTGCAAAGGCCAATGAAAGAATTGAATCCTGTGGATGAGTTGAACGTGTCCCATATTTGGATGAAATGATTGTTTAAAGGAAGTCCACGTATGTATTGGGAAAACCAAGGTTTCCTGCTGCATTTTGTCCTTTAAACTTTAAACCAAAGACTGAACATTAGATATTGATAGATATTGAATGACATTGATCCACTTTGAGAAGTGCTGTAAAGCTCTTGTGCAACCCAAAGGACCGATGTGAGGATCCACGGGAACGACGACAGATCGACAAGGTTCGAAAGGAAGGACCAGTTCAGTATCCCATTCAGTATCCCATTCAGTTTGTAGTGGTGAGATTCTGGTAAGTATTTCTTCGATGACATCGCATGATCTTGATCCTATAGATGTTGATTGAGGAGAAATACTGGGATCAAAATCAAGTGGAGCGATTTCCAACACACGTACTGAGCTATACATGGCTATACTGAGATGATGGATTCAAAACGGACCAGTGACACTATCTTGTGTCCATCAAAAGACAGAACAAATGAACAGATACTGTATGAAATGTATATCACAGTTAGTTGGTACTCGTATGTCTCGGTAGAGTAGTTGTCCCAAAAAGTCTCCATGGCGATATCCTTGAAATCCAAAGGATGCCCACTGATGCCCACTGGATCACTGTGTCGTGCCGAGCAGGCTCGACTTGTGCATTTTGCAAACCATTGGTTGAACTTCGAGGTCTCCGCCCAATGGCTGGGAGGGTGTCTGTGAAACGAAAAAACAATAAACGTAGCTTAAGGATGCTGAAGAATTTTTGAGATAGATTTGAGATAGGATCTTTTTTTGCACAGGAATGCAGGCGAGACAGTTTCAAGCCGGTTGTTCCTTGAATCTTCACGTTTTTTAGGAAAGAAGTTCAAACAAGTTCAAACATGTGTTTTCATCTTCCAGACCGCATCATGAGCAATCCCATGACTAGGCTCTCATTGAAAATCGCGAAGCACCTGGGCGCGTAGATAGCCCCAGATGCCCCTTGGCCAGAGACCCTCTTCATCTCTCCGTTACATCGGTGTTTCCACATTTCCAGCACGACCGGTTTGGAAGCGCTGGAAGTTGCTGGTCAGTTCCTGTAGGTATATCACTGCATATGGGAGACGATCGTTCTTAGCTTTCTTGATCTTTCTTGCCCCAATGTCCCAGGCAGTCTCGAGTGCGGTTTTCCATGTCTGACTCCAGGTTATAAAGCCGCGTTTCGATATTGGCACGACATCTATCACCACGGCCTTCAGCTCTCCCAGTCACTTTATTGTGCGAATGGGTCAAGGGTTTGTTAATCCAACCGCCAGCATTCACAATTCGTACGATTAATGGTTTGGTAAAAGTAGTATTATGTATTATGATGTTGACACATTATGATATTATGACTATTATTTAGTGTTATTATGTTATATTCTAATCATCAACTATCATCATCAACTATCATTTATTACCATTATATATTACCATATGTTTATGTGTTTATTATTGTTATTATTTGTTATTCTATGTTAGATCATTATTGGTTCCACTACTACCATGTAATTATTATAATATTCATTACTGTATTATATTCATTACTACAACAAGCATAAACCATTACTTATCCATTGTAATTATGAGCATCATTATTTTGGTTTGTGAATACCAATATATATATATATACATATATATATACATATATATATACATATACATATATATATATATACATATATGTATATATATATATACATATGAGTGGCGGACAAAAATGGACATGGCCAAAGTGGGTGGTCCCCTATCGGCCCTATCGGTTGTGAAGGTTTGTACTTCCATGCTATGTGCAAAAATATGGTATCGGTAAGTGGGTGTTCCCCTATCGGTCGTGAATGTCTTCACACAAATTTGAACATCCCATGCCCACTCCCCACTACTTTAGTCTTCCGCTAATTTTGCCGGTTACTCATACACATAATTATAATTAATTATATATATATACATATACATATATGCAAGATCATGAGTGATCTGAATGTCATCAACGAGCATCAGCTTGTTTCCAACATAGCGCTCCAACCGAGCTTCTTGGATCGAATGAGCAGGGAAGAAAAGTGAGGACCGTCACGTGTTGCCAAGCCACACCATTTGGTCCATAGGCCCCTCTTTCCAGTTCCAAGTGCTAGGGCACTACTGCTTCTGTGAAGGCTCCCGCATGGTAGCGGAGCCATTGGCTCTTGAGAAAAAGGTGTAGCTCTCACCGCGTTGCCGTGAGAGAAGAATGGGAGAAAGAAGTATGAAGCAAATAGAAAGGAGCAAGGATGGGGTGCCTTGCTGGGATGGGGATGCCTCAACGTATCAAGAATACGCTGAGTTGGCGGCACTATGGGAACAGTCAGTGCCGTACCACAAGAGATACTTGTGCGGCCCGAAGCTCGTGCAGGAGCTTTCAGGCACAGCCCGCCGGTTTGTGCTCGCCAAAGACCCAACATGGGTGAGCTTTCCCGGCGGTGTGCAGGTCCTGCTGGACCACCTGAGGCAGCATTTGGGGCTCCCTCAGATGTCCGAGATGAGCGACTTCATGGCCAAGTACTTCCGCAACAGTCGCCGGCACAAACATGAGACCATGAATGACTACATAACCAGAAAGGCTGAACTCTACTCCCGTGCAAGCTATGCACTGGCCAGAGTCCAGCAAAGATATGAGCCCACCAAGTCCGCGACCAGGTCTCGTGGCTGGTCGGCAGACCAAGGAAGACTGCCACCTCACTCAAGTTCGAGGACTACCAGTGAGATTCATGAAGCACCAGATCCCACAGATCTTCCACAACCAGGTCTGAGGCCTCAGGTGCCTCATGTGGAGGATTGGCTCCGTGACGATGATGAAGAAGCACCAGGGGCAGACCCCTGGGCACAATACTCGGGCTGGCATCACTATGATGACTGGAAGCACTCCGGGTATGACTATGGGGATTCCTCATGGAAGTGGCAGCCTGCTGAGCATGCTGCCCCAAGCTCTACCAGTGATGGCCCTTGGGGAAAAAGGGCCTTCGACCTTTTGCCAGACTTCGTGCAAGGATGGTTCCTTCTCCAAGATGCCAACTTGAAGACCAATGAGAAGAACATGATTCTGGCAGCCATCAAGAATGACTTTTCGGTCCAACGAGTAGCACAAGAGTTGCGCAACCAGTGGTGTGACGCTGATCTCAAGCGTCGCGACCAGTCTCAAAGAGGCTCAGCTTGGGTGATGGATGAACCTGAAGCAGCTGATGAAGACTGGGATAGCCCAAGTTATGCAAACTTGGTCAGCATGGGCCTCAACGAAGAAGGCCTTGCAGCCATGGAAGCAGCTGAGGATGAGGCTCAGGATGCCATGGCGGCCATGGAAAAGAACCGACGTACCCTTCGAGATGCCCGAGCCCGCCAGCACTTTGTCAAGATGAGCAGGCAGTACTACAAGAGTAGTGAACGTGTGCGACAAGGGGAACGTCGAGACCATGACCATCAGGGCACCATCAAGTGTCTGCGATGCGGTGGACCCCACAAGGTGGCTGTGTGTCCCAAGAAGCACCAAGACCAAGCGTCAGTGACCACGACGTCAGAGGCAGCACCTTTTGTCTGCTTTGCTGATCAGACTGAGAATGAGCAGGCCTGTGTCTCCTCAGCCTACATCACCACCCAGCAGGCCATGAACCAAGGAAAGGCAGTGCTGGATGGTGGAGCAACCAAGACCTTGGCCTCAGTGACAGCCTTGGAGCGCATCATGGAACTGAATGTGAACAAGACTGGAGGCCATGAAATCCAGGATGTCAATGTGGACGACCGGCCAACCTTCGGTTTTGGCAACAGCTCCACGGAGAAGTGCATCTCTACGGCAAACTTGGGTATTGCCGCTGGTGGTCGACAAGGGGTACTGAGAGTGCACACAATTGACAAAGGGGAAGGCCCCTTGCTGTTTTCCATAGATGCCCTGCGTAGCTTAGGTGCTGTCATAGACTTTGAACAAGATTTGGCGGTTTTCCGCCGGCTGGATGCTCACCAAGTGATCAAGTTGGAACGTTCCAATACGGGACATCAGTTGCTGCCCCTCACTGAGGATTTGCTTGCTCAGGCAGTGAAGTCTGAGCGGCCGGTGCCAAGCTTGAAAGAATATCTGTAGGGACATCACCTCCCTGGCGTTGTCTCTGCCGACAAAAGGGAGGACTCTGAAATTGTAGCAGATTCGAATTTCAAGCACCAACTCAGTGCACCGGGACAGAACCAGAGCGAATCACATGCGGTTTGTGAGAGAGCTGTTCCTCCTTGTGATTTTGTTTTGAATAGTGATGTTGATGGTGTTTGTCTTGAGAAAGCCAGTCCTCATGAACCTTTCCCACATACACAGCACAATCACACATGCACAAACATACCATCAACTTCTGTCACCACCTCAGCTCATGTTGTGTCCTTAGACTCACCGGTTCAAGCTGCTGGAAGTGACTGCCCAGTCCACCACACTCAGGAGGATTTCGATCATGCCTCGACCAACCAAGGCAGAACTGATCCTGGCCATGGCGGAGTTGGGCGAGGTGCCTCCGAAAGTGTGGTCTCAAGTGGAGATTGCAGCCCGCCTCGACGAGCTGCGGGCAGAACGTGGCATGCCGCCACTCGATGCTCCCAGCCGCAAGGAGAAAACGCCTCTCCGCAAGATGGTGATTGCCCTGAACCAAGCTGCCAAGCGCAAGACCGACCTGCAGGTCTTTGCCACCCAGAACTTGGGGTTGTCTCAGATCTCCAACGACACCATTCCCTTGCTGCAGAAAAAGTGCCTGCTCAAGATTTACCAGGACACGCCAGCCTCAGGCGAGGACCCAGTGGGGTTCGGTCGCCACTCGAGCCTGACGTACCAGGAGGTTCAGGTCCACCATCCGGACTATGCCCGATGGGTTCTCCAGACCAACGAGGACGAGTGCGATCCTCGCCTGAGCCGCCTCGCCGGCTGGCTGCAGAGCCAGAGCCAAGTCAAGGTGGAGGTGAAGACCGAGGGATTGCCAGAGCCCATTCCTCAGTCTCTGTTGGTAGAGAAGGGATACCTGAAGCCTGGGATGATCAAGATGAAGACCGAGGGATCTCAGAAATACTCCACCTCCGACAGTGTGTCCAGCTCCCAGCTGGAGCGAACGAACATGATGATCGAACAACTTGCCTGCATGATGGGCGAGATGAAGGAGGAGCTCTCGGAGATGAAGCAAGAGCGCCCCCGGAAGGAAGTGAAGGGCAGTGCCTCCACGGCGAACGGCTCTTTCAGCATGGTCGAGAAGTGAGTCCAGAGCTGTGGCCTGGAAGTTGGGATCCTAGCGGTACGTCTCTTAGTAGCCACGACCCTAGTGACTCAGACTGTCTTGGACCTGGAGGGTCCTCCGAGAGCGTTTGGCCCTTAAGCCAGAAACTTAGTGACTCTGAAAAGAGACATGTGGAAACCTCAGTAGATCAAATGTTGCCAGAGGCTCTCCAGTCACTTGTCATTGGCCAGCGGTCGATGTTGCTGGAAGTAGCTTGCAGTCCCAACAGTGTACTGACAACCACCATGCAGGAGTTAACTAAGAACCCCAATGGAGCTCACCGGTGTTCTTTGTGGAATGGGTGTGATTTGGGGACTGGTAAGGGAGTCAAAACGGTATTAGATACCATTGACATGGTGCAGCCTCTTTTTGTTTGGTTGAGTCCTGTATGCGGTCCTTACTCCATAATGCAGAACATCAATCAGCGGTCCGAAGCTCAACGTGCTGAGCTGGCAGAAAAGAGGCGTGAGGCCCTCAAGCAGTATGTTGGATGCGCCATCATTTACAGGTACTGTTGTCAGCGTGGAATCCATGTGGGTTGGGAATGGTCACAAACTTGCACAGCATGGAGACTTCCTTTGATTGAAAAACTCAAACAGGAATACCAACCTTATTTTTCCACCGTTAGGGGCTGTCAAGTGAACCTCCGTGATGATGACCAACAGTTCATTTCCAAGGGTTGGAAAGTCATGACCACACATGAGCTCCTTGCCAAACGTTTGGATCTCCCATGTCGATGTAGTCCAGGTACTGTTCATGTTCCATGTGAAGGGAAACTCACCGAGCGTACTGCATACTATACTAAGGAGTTTGCCAAACGTGTCTGCCAAAGTATTCTCAAGGGGATGTCAACTGCAACTATTCATCGGGAAATCCACCAAGGGAAAACCCCCCAAGGGAATTTTGGTTTTGGGACTGAATGCATGTGTCATGAGGGTCAACACCACGATGCACATATCACATGTGGCCCCTGCACTCAGCATGATCGGACGACGCATCCTGAACATGATGACCATTTGGTTCTTGCGGCCCACAAAGCCCCCGGAAGTAGTAAGTATGAGGGTTTGCCTGTGGAGGAAATCAAACGCAAACTGTACTTACTTCACGCTGCCACAGGTCATGGTCCCATCAAAAACTTAGTTAGAATGCTGAGGCAATATGGGGCCCCCAAAGAGGTTTTGGTTGAAGCTGAGAAGTTTCAATGTTCAGTTTGTCAGGAGCGTAGCCGGCCTCAGCCACGGAACCAAGCAACTCTCGAAACTCAACCAAAGAAACTTGAAGTGGTAGAAGCTGATGTGGGTCACTGGGTCCACCCGGATGGAAATCACTACCAGTTTCTGTTGTATGTTGATTCAGGCAGCAGGTTCAAGGTGGCAAGACATATCATCACAGGTAAACGTGACCATGTTACCGCTGCTCAGTTCATCACCACGTTTTGGGAGTGTTGGGTTGAATACTTTGGGAACCCCCGAACTTTAAGGGTTGATCCTGATGGGGCTTTTCGTAGTCATGAGTTGTCCAGTTACTGTGATGCCAACAACATCTTTTTGGATATCATACCAGGTGAGGCCCACTGGAAGCTGAGCCTTTGTGAACGGGGTATCCAAGGGGTGAAAGAACTGTTGTCCAAGATGGCTCAAGATTTTTCCGATGTGAGTTTTGTAGATCTTTTGTCGGAAGCCATTAGGGTTTTTAACTCCCGAGAACAAATCCGGGGGTATAGTCCAGTGCAACACCTGATGGGAAGGGCACCTGATGATGAGGGCCGCTTTTTCGCAGCCCCTCGAGCACTGACGGACGACCTTTGCTGTGAAGGTCCTCGAGAAGAAAATGTCCGAAGCCATCAACTGAGACAGCAGGCAGAAATGCGATTCATTGAGTGGACAGGACAGCAAAGACTGTCCAGAGCCCAGAACTCCAAAGCCAAAGTCCGGCCAATTTACCATCCAGGTGACTTAGTCTACATCTGGAGACGTCAAGTTCCACTGAAAGAGGCAAAGAACAAGCATGGCACAGGCCGGTTCATTGGCCCAGCTCGGATCTTGGCCACAGAAAGAGAACGAGATGCAGATGGAGCACTGAAAACCGGAAGCTCCATTTGGCTGGTGAGAGGACGTAGATTGCTGAAATGCTGTGTGGAGCAACTGAGACATGCATCCCAACGGGAACACCTTCTACAAGAACTGTATGACGCAGAGCCTCAACCATGGGATTTTCCCAGGGTGGCCAAAGAGCTTGGGGGCAATGACTATGATGATCTCACCGAAGAACCACCCACTCCAGAAGAGCTTTGGAGGGCAGCAGATCCTGATCAAGAAGTGCAGCCAAGCAAGAGATTGCGACAGAAATCAAGACCACCACCAGGGCAGGAAGTGACTCCAGCCCAAGCAACACCAGACCTTGCCACCGGAAGCAGTAGCAGCTCACGACCAGGCCGTGGCCGAAGTAGAGTGGAACGGTCTGGCCCCAGCGCACAGGCCAGTTTTGTGGAAGGAGCTCACTGGACCGAATTGGTACATGACACATTTCCTGCAGAACCGGAGGTCTCAGGTTTTTGGACTGAGCCAACTGCAGCTGTGAGTGTCTCCATTGAAATGCCGAACACCAAGTCACAAACAGAAAAGATCCTGAAGGATCTTCCAGCTTACTTCAACAATACTTTGAAGAAGCGTGCAGCAGTGGAAGTGAGTGAGAAGTATCTGACACCAGCAGAGCAAGAGGAGTTTCGAACCGCAAAAGGGATTGAGGTGTCCAACTTTCTGGCGGCAAAGGCATTTGAAGCCTTACCAGATCACTTGAAGGTGGATCGGACAAGGGCTGTTCGTATGAGGTGGATACTGACTTGGAAACAAAAGGAAGACGGCACCAGAAAAGCAAAGGCAAGAGCCGTCTTGCTGGGATACATGGACCCGCTGTACGAGCACAGGTCAACAGCTTCTCCAACCACTACACGCCAGACTCGACAAATGCAACTGGCCATAGCAGCAGCATTGGGCTTCACGACTGAAAAAGGAGATGTCACAGGCGCCTTTCTTCAATCACGGCCGTATCCAGCTGAACTCACTTGCGTGCCATGCGAGGAGATTTGTGTCGCCATGGGCCTAGAGCCAAATTCAGTAGTTCGGGTCAAAAAGGCCTGCTATGGTTTGGTAGATGCACCTTTAGAATGGTACAGGTCCATTTGTGATTTCTTTCAAAAACTGGGACTCCGACGATTGTGGAGTGACCCTTGCTGCTGGGTCCTGGAGCGAAACAACCAGGTTAGAGGCCTGATTTCAGGACATGTGGATGATTTCCTTTTTTCAGGATCAAAAAGTGATCCCCTTTGGCAGGAGACATGCGCTGCCATCCGAAATGAATTCAAGTGGTCTGACTGGGAACGTGGTAAGTATACTCAGTGTGGGGTCCTGGTAGAGGAACACTCTGATGGAACTTACTCCTTGTCTCAGGAGTCATACATAGATGATCTTAGGTACATCAACTTGCGTGCGCATCGAAGGAAAGAAAAAGGCGCGCCAACTGATGCCTTGGAACAATCACAATTGCGAACACTCTTAGGTGGCTTGAGTTGGGTAGCACAGCAAACAGCACCGCATTTGGCGGCAGAAGTAGGCTTGCTGCTCTCTGAGGTAAACCACAGTAGTGTAGACACCATCAACCGTGCGAATCGTTTGTTGGACCAAGCAAAGGGCATGAAAGACCACAAAGTCCGAATCCATAAGATTCCACTGGACAAAATGATGGTGTGCGCCTGGTGTGATGCCGCAGCACACAACAGGCCAGACGGTAGCAGCACTCAGGGGATTGTCGTTGGGATCTCATCCACTGATTTAATCAAGGGTCAATGTGCACCAGTGTCTTTAGTCATGTGGCAGTCAGCGAAGATAGGAAGGATCTGTAGGAGCCCAGGTGCCAGTGAGGCAATTGCGGCAGTGAATGCCGAAGATCTTCTTTTCTTTGCTAGGTTTCAGTTGGCAGAGATGTCAGGTCATAAGGTACATGTCCGACAGGTAAACCATGCAGTCAACACAGTGCCAGGATGCCTGGTCACCGACAGCAGAAACGTGTACGACAAATTGGCTTCTGAGGCTGTAGTTCCTAAGGGAGCGGAAAGACGCACTGACCTGGAGTTGATGAGCTTAAAGGCAGCCCAGCTTAGAAACCAAGTTTTAGTCCGATGGGTCAACAGCGAAGCGCAGTTGGCCAACCCCTTGACTAAGGCCAGAGAACAGAGAGAAGTGATGTTGTTTTATAGGATGAACCACCACTGGAAAATTGTAGAAGATGAAACAATGTCCTCAGCAAAGAAACGTAAACTCAAAGGGCAGTCACCACTTGAAGACACTAAGGTACCAGACACACCACATACAGCCACACCGAGCGTACACTCCACTTACAGGACTAATGGTTCTTGAGGTTGTCTTTCTTGTCTTGTTTTTCGTGTTGTGATTGTTGTTGGTTTTCTTTCTGGCCCGGTGGGGGGATGCAAGATCATGAGTGATCTGAATGTCATCAACGAGCATCAGCTTGTTTCCAACATAGCGCTCCAACCGAGCTTCTTGGATCGAATGAGCAGGGAAGAAAAGTGAGGACCGTCACGTGTTGCCAAGCCACACCATTTGGTCCATAGGCCCCCTCTTTCCAGTTCCAAGTGCTAGGGCACTACTGCTTCTGTGAAGGCTCCCGCACATATATATATATTACCATCATTAATAACCATTATAACCGATTTGTTGAGTCCCAACCTGTCGGGCCCTGAGGTTGGCCGAAACAGATCCACCGGTTTTGCCTCGATACAAAGCCATGGAGCCACAGGAGGATGGCATGGCGTGCCTTGGCGGGGATTTCCACCAGAAAGATTGCCATGTATGGGAAAATCATGGGAAAAATCATGGGAGAATGTTGTTTTACAATGGGTGTAAAATGGTGATTAATCTTCACAGAAGATACAGAAGCTTTTCAAAGCAGCATTGCTCCCAGACTCTTAAGATCAACGGCTTCAGAGGTGCCAACCATGGTACCATACTGTGATACATGGCAGCCACAATGAGCGCCTGGCTGTGAGCTAAGGACGCCGGATGATGTGAAAGACATGTTCCTCAGTTTCCAGGACATCAAATCAAACTTCTCAAATTCCCGAGGCGTTGAAGCCTGCAGCTCACTCTTTCGCGGCATCGCATCGTTGGGAAGAAAGTTTGTATTAATCAAAGGATCAATAAAGAATCCCATGAAAAGGTAGCTTTGTCAGTGCAAGAACGAAGACCATCAGCAAATGGCGGCAGCGCCGTTACTCTGATGGTCATGAAATTATCCTTGAATCAGGACAAACCCCTTGCATGCGAAAATTGTTTTGGATGCATCGATTCGAAATTCCCAGCACTTCCACAACCCCCCTAGCCGTTCCATGAAAGTACTCCTATGCCTGATTCACAATATTCACATGGGTATGGATCAATACCTATTAATACCATTTTTAATGGGATGAACATCCATTTATCAGCTATTTTGATGTTCACCAGGGGTACAAGGTTTTGACACACTGGCACATCATGTTTGGTTTATCCCTCATTATGTCAGCCTTTCCAGACAGGTCGCTCCAGCCGTCAGGTCAAGACGGCTCCAAAGATGTTGAGCTGTGAGCATTTGAAGCACTGTGATCCGAAACCTGAGCGTCAAAATGTGACGGGAAAAAATGAAGATTTGTTGCAGGTGGTTGACCAGTGATGCGCTTGCAGTCTAGTACAGTTAATTTTAATGCTACAGTAATTATGACTCATGACATCTCATGACCATGTCATGAAGTCATTTATCTATGTGTATCTAATTGTATTTGTATAACATACATATATATATATATATATTATACATATATACGCACACATATGAATACAGTATAATTGGTTGAAGTGTGTCGTGTGCAGATTTATTGTACCACTGCAGAAGAAGGGATCAACTGGCCAATGTTCACTGGGGGCCTGAAACACGGATGTATTTTTCTAGTTATACTGAGCAAGAACCGCCAAGTTGTCTGAAGGTTCTTCGTTGACACGTGAACAGTTCTCTAAATCTGCAAGGCGCCCATTTAGGCAAGTGTCTTTTTGAGATCTTTCTAGTGTGTTCAAGGCCCAATTTCATGCAATGCCCTTGTCCTCAACTCATTCCATGAGACTGGGTCGGTAGGAAAGGTTCTTTCTGGAGAATGGTAAGAAGTTCGATGTCCAAGCGGAGCTTGGACTACGGATGTGAATGTGCGCGAAGATGAGTCGAACCGCATTGATACTGCAGGACTGTAGGTGGCACAGTCGAAAAGATACAGAACCCTGTCTGTGGCTAGCCAGCACATGCCAGCCCTACTGCTTGTGTTATGGGACTGCCAACTGAGCCAGCTGTTTTGCCTCAAAGACTCCATGTCGCTTTTGGGTGACCACAAAGTCAAAGACTTTGGGAAGAAACCGTGCCACCCCATGAAAGTACCACAGAACCCCGCAGTCGTTCGAGTTTCAAGTTTCGTTTCTTTTAAACGCAGCTTCCTTTGGCAAACGTTCCTTGGAAATTTGCAGTTCAATATCACTTCGAAAGTGACCCCCAGAGGCCCAAGGGCCTGATTCTCGACAGATATTCAAGTCATAGCCAGGGCCAAAGCTGCTCTGTGGCTTTAGCACATGCCAGCGCGTCGGCCGCCCAAAGAGGAGGAGAAATTGCACTATGGGCCGAATGGGATTATATATGATTTCCCAACATTGCCATAGTTGGATATCCCCCGTTTTTGGACACACCCATATATAGAACCCTTGTGTTTTCTTCAACACTTGGACTTGGACTCCCAGTGATGACAAGCTCCAAAACAGGACTCTGATGAGCTGGATGAGTATGAAGAGGCTGTGGCAATTCCTGCGGGTTTGGGGGAGTTCACTCTCAGTGGATGATAAACCATTGAATTTTAGGGATATGATATTCTTGGACACACCCATATGGTGTCCCATGGTGTATTTGACATAGCCTGAGAATGTCTCATCATTTAATCTATTCAAGCTGATTCGGACAATTCTTGATACTGATAGGATTCTTTATACAGTTTGTGTGGCAGGAGGAGTTACAGGCCCAAGAATTACCAACAGCATGATGTGCCAAGATTGTCTAAGAGGCTGTGCCGCATTTTTTTGGCACCATCAATTTGTATTCCTCTTTGAAGCAATTCGCCAATCAATTTGTGACTCCTCGCGTGGCAAAGTGTGACACGATATACAACATCAATTTCCAAACCTCAGAGTCAGACTTGGATCCATTTCGAAACTATTCTACATATAAGTTTGATATATATATATATATGCATTAGGTACGGGTGACTTAGGACTTGGTAAAGATACCCCGGGGTGGACAAGTCCCAACTCATCAGGCATCCGTCTGAGATCAGAAACTATGTTTGTTTTTTTGATTTGCTGAGAGGTATTGTTTTTTTTCAAGAATCTAGTGCGGCATGGACCACTCGTAAATCATGATGACATAGGAATGAACGATGGGGCGAAGTCATCATGCTCGTGGGCTGCACCAAGTATGTATGTAATGTCATGTAATGTAATGTAATTACAGTACAGTACAGTACGTTGCAGTACATTACATTACAGTACATTACATTACATTACACTACACACAAAGGACTTGGTGCACAACATCGTATGTCACCAGAGGGGCATAAGTCCTAAGTCATCAGAACATACATACTTACATTACATTACATTACAGTACGGTACAGTACAGTACATTACATTACATTACATACATAGGACTTGGTCTTGGTGCACAAAATCGTATGTCACCAGAGGGGCATAAGTCCTGAGTCATCAGAACAGACATACTTACATTACATTGCATTACATGACAGTACATTACATTACATTATATTACATTACATTACATGCATGCATAGGAATGTAAGTATGTATGTTCTGATGACTTAGGACTTATGCCCCTCTGGTGACATACGATTTTGTGCACCAAGTCCTTTGCATGTATGTAATGTAATGCAATGTAATGTACTGTAATATACTGTACTGTACTGTAATGTAATGTAAGGTAATGTAATGTAAGTATGTATGTTCTGATGACTTAGGATCTATGCCCCTCTGGTGACATACAATTTTGTGCACCAAGACCAAGTCCTATGTAATGTAATGTAATGTAGTGTAGTGTACTGTAATGTAATGTAATGTAATGCAATGTACTGCAATGTAATGTAATGTACTGTACTGTAATGTACTCTAATGAAATGTACAGTACTGTAATATACTGTAATGTAATGTAATGTAAGTATGTATTTACTGATGACTTACGACATTAAGAAATGTGTGTTTTTAACCTTAAAAAGTGCTTAAGTCCAATAACAACCCCAGTGACTTAGGACTTGGTGCACACAAATCACCTGGTAACAACACCAGTGACTTAGGACTTGGTGCACAAAGTCCTATGTCATCAGGTGGGCTTAAGTCCTAAGTCATGGGTACCTTGTAACCTAGTATATATATATATACATACATATCGTTATATCGCAGTATTTATAAATATATATATATACGTATATGTACGTATATATATACATATATATATATATACGTATATATATATATATGATTATATATGCATTTTTTATGTATAGATATATATATATATATATATACAATACAGAAAACAACCATCATAAGAAAAACTCTAAAACCCCCAACTACCTGGCATGGCTCAAATATTTCAGGCTGAAGCCTTACGTCTCAAGACGCCTTCCCCAGAACCCAAGCCTAAGCGACGGCGGAAGGAAGGCGAGGCATCATCGCCATGGGATCATTGGGATACCCATGGTGTTTCCCTAGGACAATGGATCTACAAATAGGGGGGGGTTCTGGAGGGTAATCAGTGTTGGAAAATGAATGTAGGATCATCATGGAATAATCATGGTAATCATGGAATAACATCGTGAAATGTTGCGTACGAGCACTGGTATGATCATACTGGGTATAGTCATGAATCATCAGCGTGGCAAATATCAGTTGATGCGGATAATCACCCGGATGTCTCTGAGTGGTTTCCCACATTAGGGTTCGCGGAATGAACAACCAGTTGGATTTACCAGCTGATTTGATGTGAACAGCAGGGTGAACTGACTCAAACCCATGTGATGTACACAATTTTGCGGATGTGTCAGAAATACTAGCCCACACCAAAGGGACCGTGGGTAGTTGGTGGTTTTCAACATGTTCAACCGATTTAGGTTGATCCAATGACTGATATTATTGGAGGAGATGAGACAACTAACCAGATACCAGTTTAATCAATGCCCATTTTTGCAGTGAAACTGAATGCCACCCAATGCCACCCGTATGCGGAGGCGAAGTGGCGGAGGTGAAGAAGAAGGCGAGAACTGGGCTGGAGAATGTCCAGCAATTCGCCCAATGTCACTGGGAAAGTGATCCGCAAATGGTACATGTTGTAAGCAACGTCAAGCAGCCATCAGTGGTTCAGATGAGAATTGCTTCATTTGACTTCTACTACCGTAACAAAATGGCCTTCGGTGTTTTGATTTTGGAATGTTTTGGACTAATTTCAACGACTTGGAAATCCACATGGCACTTTCAAAAAGTTATCGCAGGACAAGAAGAAAAAGAAGAAGCACAAAGAAGGCAGCGACTACAGAGTAGCGGCACCGCTGATTTGCATAGCAAGTGGATCAGATCCAGCATTGCTCAACTGTGCGGCAATGCCGGTGGCCAGGCTCAGATGAAAGGCAGCAATTGGGAAGATGGTCAGATAGCAGGGGTAGAACGGTAGAACCTAGTGCAGTTGTGTACTGGTCTACACATTGGATTGGTGGGCTAAAAGGGTTTGACGCCGCGTGGGAGGGAATGGTTCCTTGAACCTACTTTATTGTTTGCATCCTTATCATGAACTGAAAGTGGTTTCGAGTCAGAAAAGGAAAAGTAAGTCACTTTTAAGCCATTGGAAGTTTCTTTCATCCCAAGTTCAACTTGCTCAGCCACCGAGCAGTGGACAATTGATCCTTGCCATGCCTGGTTATCGTCCGATTATACCCTTTGAAAATCTCCATTTGGTTGACTTGAAACCTCAAGTTATGGGTCTGAGAATAGGGTACCAGAAGTTTTATGGCTTATCGATGTTTACCCTGTGTGTCCCTCTTAAAATTGCCATTTGATGGGCATAGCCGGCATAGCCCATGTTACGTTCATCCATTTTCGACACACCCATATGTGGCTAGCGAGGCCCAGAAAGAAGGGCCGAGAGGCGACAAGCGGATCTCAGCCGGCCATGCCACGTGACTCCAACGGTCGAACTCCAGTGATGAACAGGTAGTACGAAAGATGAAAACATGTGTGATACAGAAAGATGTGATAAGTTGTATAAGTTTCTCCTCATCCCAATTTGAAGAGTTTCTCAAGTTCATTTGATTACCGTAGTTTCGGTTCATCCATGTTCATCCAATAGGAAGAATGCATGGTGTTGTTTCAACCTACAGATCCACAGGCCGAGACACGGCGTAAAAGCTAAATTTGTCCAATCTCCCAAACTCCTTAAGAAATACAATGGACGTGTGTGTGTGTATATATATATAATTATATATATAATTATATTAAATTACATTAATATGTACATATATTTCTCCTCAATTATGACGGTTTATCGATGACACAGATGGATAGGTAGATAGATACTGATACTGATACTGATACTGATAGATAGATACTGATATATGATATTATCTGACATTATATGTGTATGTATGTGTATATACATATTATGCATCTTACATGATATGTGTTAATTTATACCAGTAGTTGTGTTCAGCACCTCTGAGGCCTTGGCCCTATGGCTATCCTGGATGGATGGCCATGCCCCCCATGGCCTCCATGGCTTCGATGTACGCTGCACCCATGGCCCACATGGCCATGGCATCCATGGCATCCATGGCGCCCCGAAGCGGGGGACAACGGTCCAATATCTTCACACCTCCAGGACTGACATTGGGATATTGGTGAATCATGAGTTTCATCAGAGGATGAATTCAAAATTGGGGTTAACAATGGTCATTAATTGTTAATATTGTTAATATTGTGGTTGGGGTCGATTTTCCAGAAGCTGTTTAGACAGGACGTGATTTTTGCAGGCACGCCGTGAAAGCAGATCCATCCCCTTAGTGTTGCTGTTGCTGGCTGAATACAGAAGCCAGGCCCTTCGATGGTGCCGGAGGCTGCACCTATGATCCCAACGCTGCATAGTGTTTTGACAGGCCTGGCCGCTGGCATTGACCGATCATTGACCTCACCCTGAGCATGCTGAATATATCTGAATATCATGGAACGGCAGTTTGAGACACGAGATGTCATCAGCTGTTCATAGGAGATTTGAGAATTTTGGGGGCGGATGAACGGGGATGAACATCCATAACTACCAGCTGTTTTGAAAACCAGGGCACCAGGGTTTTGACCCGTAGCCATTTGGGACCCAATGTCGAATATTTTCTCTGAGGCGAGGTGCAAATGCTGACACCCAAAGGGGCATTGCTTCGTCTCAGTGACCAGTCTCCAGTGCGTGCCTCGTTAAAGAATAGCTTGTGCTGGGCAACTATGGACGTGTCTGAATCTAGGGTATTCCTAAACCCTCCTAGTTTATCATCATTGTCCCTATTAAACAGCAATAAAAATGGGGTATCCATGGGTATCCCCCATTTTAAGACAGACCCATATAGTTGTTTCCCAGAAAAAAGGGCGGGGGTAGCCAAAACCATCCTAAACCCATGGGTTTCAATACTGGATGATTTGGGGGTACCCATACCCATACATACCCCTACTTTCGGAATCCCACTCCCGGGATCATGTACAGTCAGAGCATTAAGTCACATCGATTTTGCTGTTTTCAGTCAATATTAGGTTCTATAAGTTCTATTATTCATAAGAAGATCCTCCTATCCAGGTCTCTCTTTCTTTTAAATGGCTGTGAAGTGCGATGGCTCCAAATTACTTCAAGCCCCGGAGTTGGATGGTCACAGAAAGCTCGGTCGGAACATGTCGGAACTGTTTCAAGTGGTTCTGCAGCCAGTGATATGACGCGACGATTGTGTTGGAAACAAATTCTTCCAAATCCCCAAAGGGGCAGGGCAGCAAGGAAGGGAAGCACAACGGTTGTAAAGTCGACTGCTTCACCCATGGCATACCTATCTGCAAAACAAAGCCTCTACTGCCCAGCAAAATGTCTTGGGTACCAAGTACCAAGGTACTAAACCATGCCCTGATCAACTGAGGCTACCTCGATGGGTTACTGCGACGTCGTCCTGACGAGCCAGCCAAGAGCGTAGGTTCCAAGTGCTTTGTGAAGGTGGGGCCAATGGGCCAGTCATGAAGACCCAACATTGCCAGCTACATTGATCGCCACGGAGGTACAGTATTGGCCACTGGCTTTGCCTGGATTTTGGACATTGCAACTGATTGTGATTGTAGACCAACACATGTCAAGATGATTCAAGAAAGTTTCAAGAAAGTTTCAAGAAAGTTTCAAGATGCCATGATTCATCCTGGCCATGGCACTAGCAGATCTTTTTTTCGCTGGCCCTGCGCAGGTGGTCCGCATCGAGGCTGGGATGGTCATCGTGGATACCAAGGACGTGGATCAGGAAGTGGGTAAAGACCTGGATCCTGAGCATGAGAAAGCGGAAGTGGAGGACTGCGGAACCATGGGGGAACCATGGGGGAACCAAGATGGGGACCACCCCCCGGAAATTGGATCATTGGAATTAATTGGAATTAATTGGACAGTAAGACAGTTATGTGACTATGGCCATGTATGGCCTATTTTCAGACAAATCCATCGATCACCACAGGCACATGGTTAGTCATCGCCACAGGCAGCTGCACAACCAGCTGCAAGTTGAGAAGGGTCGTTGGAGAACAAAACAAAAGATTGGAACTGGAGCAGTAATGTGTTTTCATAGTTTCATGGCCACTAAGTTATTAATGTTCCCAAATTAACCATTAAGGTATTCTTGCAGTTGCGTGGCAGCCAGTTGGCCGGATGGGGTCACTTTGGGCATCAATCCATGCATTTCTTACGGATGATCTCCAACTCTGACCTAAAAGAACCACACTCACTAACCTAAACAGTTATTTTATGTTAGAGTTAATTTTGTTAGTTGATGTTGAGGTCCTTTAAACATATTTCAACCGTCCCACCCAAATCATGGTACAACGCCAGGAGTGGGTGGACGTTCCCATGGCCTTTGTGGGCCGAGTCATTGGCAAAAAGGGTGAGCAGATCCGCAAGATCTGCGACGAGTCCGGTGCCGTCCGGGACACAGAAATTCCCTGCTTTCCGATGTGTTTTTGCTATGGAATGCCATGGACAAATGGCCAAACATGGCCATGTTCACATCCAAATTTTGGAAATGCGATTTTGAGGGGAAATTCTAGTGGTCAGCTATGAGATTGTTTGGGCTATGTTTTCAAATTAAGAGTATATTATTATGGCTAAAGTGGACTGTGGTGGCTATATACGTCCATTCATACTACACAATTAGCATCAATTAGCATTTGTGTATATTTTTGTATGAAATAGTTCACAACGGCACTATCACTATGGTGGCTGCACAATTTGTGGAAACAGGCAGCTTGCAGGTCGAAACTGAACACCTTTGAAATTGGGCGGGTGAAAACGGCATCAAAGGCAACATGTTTTGTTCATTTATGAGATGCGAAAGCGGGGGTATCAACTTAGACCCACGCTCATATACAAGTTTACAAGAAGAACCCCTCAGAGACAAAAGATCAATTTGTAAAGATGCTGACTGCTAGTGGCCGGAATGCCCTTCTGAATTCCTGCGGATTTGTCAGCCTTGCAGGTGCAAAACCACAAAGATCCCTAAAGGTGAATTGTGGTTCCTAAACCCGAGATGATTTCCCACACCTTCAACAATTGTAGGAAAACAAAGAAAATGCAAGACCCAATAGTGGAATTTAAAAATAAGAATACATAAAAATACGTTGGATATGACCACGATGAATCCATGAATCCCAGGATTGTTGGTTCCGCCAAGGATTTGCGCTTCGACGAGGCAGTCCGTGAACTTGAGCTCGGGAGCAACACCAAGAGGAAGACCACAGGTGCGAGGGAAAAACGATGGTTTGGGGATAACCCAAAAAAGGGGTGTTATGGGGATAACCCCAAAAAATGTTGCAAAATGAGGATCAAAAAAAAGTTGCTGGACCAGGGTTTGGAATGCTTTGGGGTCAAAGTTGTCGCAACTTGGGCAGATTTGTGTCCAGGATGGTGGATCGTTAGATTCACTTTGGGCCTTCCATGGTTTCATCATCCTCTAAACTTTAGGGGGAAATGTGTACCTCAACTTGAAACAAGGACTTACGTACAAAGTAATTGGGTAAGCCCCAAAACATCATTGGAAGATGAGGATAACACAACCCAAAGTGGAGAAGAAATCAGTTAAGATATATGAAAATGTTATTATTCCCATTAAAAATGCCGCACTGAGTAGCTGATAGCCTGCTAGCTGATGGGATTCTTTAGATGAGTGTCAAAGACTGGAGACATCCGAATGCCACGTATCTTCCGGATCATGTCCTGTTCCTATCCAACTGGACCGGTTGAGGGACAATGTCCCTGACAGGTGGGGTTGGTGATGACATGCGGAAGTTCTTGGAAGCCGCGCAAGAGGATGCGGAAGGTCATGAGGACCGAGCAAGAAATGGAGATTTGAAGCACCGGCGACGCTGCTTCGGGCCTGGTTGGTGATGAAGCAACTGGGGCAGATCAGCAATTTTGACCGCAAAGGCTAGCCTCTCTGGTTTTTTTTTGGTCTTCGCTTACCCATTTGTGTCAACATCGGTATGGGTCAAAAGCAAAAAGGATGTGGATAATTATCACACAGGATCTGACAGGATCTCATAGATCAGATCCCATACCCAGCCACTGTTTATGGCCCTGGATACTTTTTTTGAGGAGCCTGAGGAGCAGCCTGAAGGTGATGATTTGCGGGCCTTTCTGCGGGAAGCACAGGACGCTCCAACGGCTTGGGGGGTTTTGCAGGGATGATCAACTACGTGCACTGTCCATCAACTTGATGGGTCGGTAAGATTTGAATATGTTGCAAGAAATGGAATATGTATGAATATGTACATAGATTTTACATATAGTACTAACCACCTCAAAAATGTTTTTTCTTGTAGAGTATCTAAACTTGGCCGGTTCAGCAGTTTGGGACCCGCAACTGCCTGGGAGACTTTTTTGTGTCAGGCTGACGCACCCGTGATGCATCCGCCCATGGAGGAAGATGAAGATGAGGTGAGCGGTAGGGACTAGCAGATTTAATCGAAGGAAGTTTAGAAGTCAAACTTACGAAAATATGGACAGATGGAAAAGCAGAGGTGGGAAGAATCAGAGAAGAGAAGAGAAGAAGAAAGAAGATCAGAGAAGAGAAAGAGTCAGAAGAAAGAAGATGCCGGTGCGCGAAAAGGTAGAAAAGTCGCGAAACACTGTGCTTTTCCAGTGATTTGTGGTTCCAGAGGGTCGAAGAGTAGGCTCGCTAAAGTGGCGGGTGCGGAGCCATCTGGGCAGTGGATGGATAGATGGATAGATGGATGGATAGATAGATAAATAGATGGATGGATGGATAGATAGATAGACAGAGAGATAGACAACTATAACTACACTAATTACGCTACACTACAACTACAACCACCACTACACTACAACTTCAACTTCAACTTTAGCCTCCACTTCAACTACACTACAGCTACAACTACCACTACCACCACAGCTACAACTGCAACTACAACTTCAATTTCAACTACAACTTCAACTACACTAACATTACAACTACCACAATATTACACTACAACTACCATTACCACCACGGCTACAAGTGTAACTACAACTACAACTACACTACAACTACACTACAACTACACTACAACCACAACTACAACCACAACTACAACCACCACTAAACTACACTACTCTACACTACAACCACAACTACAACTACAACTACAAACAGCACTGCACCACACCACACTACATTCAGCAGTTGTGGGTGAGGTGGCCATCGCAACCATTCCAAAAAGCACAACTCCAACCACCTTTCGGTCCATTAGTGGTTTCGCTCTGCCATCCATGCATCACAACAACCCACCTCTCCTATAGGTTTCCTATTTTTGAAATTTCCGCCACCGCGTTGTGCGGCACTGCTGGTATGAATATGTACATAAAGCGTGATTGGTGATTTAAAATAACATCTTAGTATCTCCCAAAACTTCTTTGAATAGCTTGGGAAGATGATCTCTGTTGGTCCGCTGTTCAGCTAACACATCTTCCTGAGATTGGTGTTTGCATGCTTCAAATGTTTTTAGGCGAAAATGCACCAAACATATAGCAGCTAGCATGTTTGAGTTGATGAGACTGTGTGCTTGCCAGCTGCCCTTGGATGACAGTTTCTGTTTCAACTTTGGAAACCCGACAAGACCACCCTGACGTGTTTTTCTACATAGTTCATCTCGGATAAATTTGATCAGACATACCAGACCCAGCAAGTACATTAATATGTTGTATGTGTGTTACACCTGCACCAGCTATGCACAAATGATCATCTAAAAACATGTGTTAATATCTACCAATATGTCACGGTATAGTCATGGTTAATATACCCATATATTATGTATATAATCCATATCATATTAGCCATATATCATGGCATATCATGGCAGAATCATGATTATATTTCATAGACCTTGATTACATCATATTATATCATAGACCTCCAAGCCTACAATCATATAATTTTGATACATATGTTATCCCTATAATCATAATTACTGTTGTAATAGGATATCCCAATATTACTGTTGATTACCTATGATTATATATAATAGGGATTAATAGGGATAGACTAATTGCAATATACTGTCAGTCATGACAGGTCCAGGAAGCTGCTGGCGACCTGGCGGCCTTCCTCAAGGAAGCCAAGGCTGCCGGAGAGGCCGCCGAGGACACGCCCTTGGCGCCGCGGGCCAGGCGGGGCCAGGGGCCCTTCGGGTGGGATGAAGATGGGAAACTGTGGTAAATTGAAATATGTTTATGTTTGTTTTTACTTTTTTTCAATGAATGTTTGATGATTTTTGGAGATTTTTGTATGAATCTGATGATTTTTGATGGTTGTTATACGATGTTTGATGATTGTTATATGATTTGATTAGGATTATGATCGAAATATGTGTCCCGTCCCTTAAATAAATTCAGTGATGAAGTTTTCCTGGAATTGTTTCTAAGATAGAAACTTTGGCAAACTGGATGAAACTATAGAGAGTTTGTTTGACCCTTTCTGGCAGTTTGCAAGCATTCATGCGTTTGGAGATGCAAGAGCACGTCCTTGGTGAATTATCAAGCCAATGATGGGATGTTAGGCTAACTTCCACTTGACTTTCTGGGATAAGTGCATGATCACCGCATCCCGGCAGTCATCCATTTAGCCAGAGGACCTTCGTGCCAGCGGTGGAGTTCATCGCTAACAGCTTGGAGAACTGGGATGAGAAACTTGGTCTTCGGTCATGGTCCCATGGTTGTTGGTTCCCGTTGGAGGGTCAAAAGTCAAGATGACAGAAAATGACCAAACCCAATTTTTTTGGGAGGCTGGCAGATTATTTTGACCCATACTGTACCCATAGGATTCCATAGGTATGAGTCAATTCTCCTAGGTAAGGACATGCCCTGATTAGTACTAAAACAGACCTGAATACTGTAGTTGATTCAGCATCTTCACCCACCCGTGGGCGTTGGCTTTGCTAAAGCAGCTAAGCCTGCTCAAAGCTTGAGCAGACAGTTTGCACAGGCCCAGATGATGTCAACTTGTGTACACAGCAGCACTAAAAAGCAGTGGCTTTTGATCCTGCTGCATGTTTAAAAGGAGTTGGTACTTCTCATATGATGCGCAGGCTGGCAACCAAGAATGCCTTTTTCCCTCAAACTGATTTGCACGGTCGGAAATTCGGGTTCGATATGTAATGTTGACCTACGATTTGTAAACTACCCCTGAATAAAGCTAACCAAACCCCCAAACTAAATAGTAAACTACCCCTAAATAAAGCTAATTTTTTTTGGCCCTTAACCCAGATTTGCCCAGATGGGGCTGAAAAAAAGTTTTATTTGAGGTGGCTTTCATGTACTGATTCATATTGCCAGCTCATCATATCTTACCTTGATAACTTCAAATTTTCAAAAATAATGGTTGCTCTTTCTATTCAAAACCTTTATTCAAAATTATCCAAAATCAATCCCAAATCAACTCGTCAAGGGTACCCCCCATGAGGTGCCTTAGCACTAATTAGAGTTTGACCCTGAATAAAGCTAAATGTTTTTGGCCCTAAACCCAGATTTCTCCAGATGAGGCTGAAAAAAAGTGTCCATGCTTTATTTGAGGTGGCTTTCATCTACTGATTCATATTGCCAGCTCATCAGATCTTACCTTGATAACTTCAAATTTTCAAAAATAATGGTTGCCCTTTTCTATTCAAAACCTTTATTCAAAATTATCCAAAATCAATCCCAAATCAACTCATCAAGGGTACCCCCCATGAGGTGCCTTAGCACTAATTAGAGTTTGACCCTGAATAAAGCTAATTTTTTTTGGCCCTAAACCCAGATTTGCCCAGATCCATGACATGAATACTAAATCAATACTAAATCCATGACATGAATACGAGATCAATACTAAATCCATGACATGAATACTAAATCAATACTAAATCCATGACATGAATACTAAATCAATACTAAATCCATGACATGAATACTAAATCAATACTAAATCCATGACATGAGTACTAGATCAATACTAAATCCATGACATGAATACTAAATCAATACTAAATCCATGACATGAATACTAAATCAATACTAAGTCCATGAGATGAATACTAAACCAATACTAAACCAATACTAAAACAATTGTTGGATTCCTGTTTTTTTTGGAAATTGCATTTTATGTATTCGTTTTAAATTGTGGTAATTGAAAACCTTTACATACAAACAAGTTTTTAACTTTATTTGAGGTAATCAAGGGGGGGGGGCCCAGGTTTATAAATCAGAGGCAGACATTATTCGCAAGTGGTGGCTGATTTCCTTCTATGATTCAACTGTTATATTTCTTTGAACCATTTTGAACTGCCATATCCACGTTTTCTCCAGACCTCCTCCCAGCTTGTCCAAGGATGTTGTACCGCAAGATGGGCGAAGCCGGTGTGTCACTGGTTTACCCTGAGAATTTGTCCATCTTTGACAAGGAGGGGAAGGCTGTGGACATCGAACGCGGCTTGCGGCAGAAGCACTTCCCCATCCGGGTGCGGTACATCCTCACCTCTGACACCTATGCTCCGAAGCCTGCGGAACAGGACGGGAGTCGTGCTTGAGATTTGACCCACGGAAAGCAATCTTCGAATGTTGGTTTGTTTGTGCATGTTTGTGCCAGTTCAATGTTTTTATAATTTCCCCTGCATGTCTCAGAAGATGTTCCTTCTGCTTTAAACATGTTTTAAGCCCGTTTGAGTCTTCTCAGATAGCCACAGAAACTAGGTTGACAATGGGCAGCCAGGAGCCAACGGAAAAGGCGGCTTCGAAGCCAGAAGCGGAGCCACAGGAGGAGGACCCTGGACGGCGCTTCTGGCTGAATCGGCTTTTGGGTTAAACACTGGTTTTTCTAATTGCAGTTTTACACTGTAAAAACATGCAAAATTAACAGAGTGAATCTGGTTGCATCCCAGTACCATGTGTACACAGAAAATCCTGTGAACGTATGCTTTAAAGGGGGAAGGTGTACCTGTGTACTGTAATAATATATACATGATTGTACATGTATACATACTCAGCTTTACTGAAACTTGTTTGCGGGTGTCTTAGATTCGATCAGCTATGAAAAATGGGGAATATATAAGCATAAATCCACGAGCATGGAGGGTTAGCTAACAAATGTTCTGGTTTAAAAATCATATGTCTATATAACTTCATAAGTGGCCATGAGGGACGTAGGCGTGAGTAACACGTAGGTTTATCATACATGTGCTCTTTTGCCCTCCCGTCAAGGAAGGGATGCCTTCTCCCAGGTGAAAAATTAGCTCTTTTGTATTTTAAATGCATTTTAAATACATATTATATATATATACACGTTATTTTTTCTTTCAACTCCTCAAAGCTGTCGTAGGATCGGAAGAACACAAAGACAGCAAAAGCTTCAGCAAATAGGCAGGTGGTGGGTTGACTTGCTTGGGATAGCACGCTGTGCCACCACAGCACCACCACATTTTCCTGAAAGGGCGGACAAGACATGTCGATCACAATGGCGCTTGCTTTCCGTATAAAGATGTGTAGTGTTTCAAGTGGTGTACTTGACAGATCCACTTTTCCAAGGCAAAAACATGTCTTGAAACTAATGTTCTTTGCTGAGACTGCCTCGCTGATGAATTCAGATCTGAATAGTATTCAGCAGTTGCAACAAATCCGAAACCCTGAAACCAGGAGGTTTCTCGCTTATCAAATTTTGAATGGTTTCGGGCCTTCGAATTGTTCAATAGCTGGGGAGGCTGGTTGGAGCCGCACCCTTTACCACCTCGCGATCAGACCCGGCAGGAAGGATGCCATCTACATCTCTGGTGCAGGAGGCCTTTCCAAGAAGCAAGTCCTACAGGACTGGAGCCGATCCGTCGCTGGGTGCGTTGGGCATTTGAGCTAAGATGGATGCCGTTGGGACCCCATTTTCCATATTCCATGTTGCCCTAGGGAGTGTATCTCAGAGGGGAAAATAGATGGATTGCACATTTTGAAGATATCCAGACATGTCAAGGCTATGCTTAGCAGTGAGCAGCGAGGGGGTGACAAACTGGGGTCCAAATCAAAGTTTCACACACTCTGACAGTCACTCTGATGTTTTGGTATTGACATTGCCTTTCAGACTGGAAAATAGATGAGAATTTGGACAGAAAGTTGGGGATAAGACAGGGAAATATGGAAGGAAATAAAGGATATAGGAAAGAAAGGGAAGGAAAATGGGGAAATTAAAAGATACTAAAAGCAAGACTAAAAGCAAGTATGCATATCACAAGCGATTCAAAACAGGCCGAAAATACATACTGTTCCCCAAGCAGCCCAAGCATTCCTCAGTTTCAGCCATGGAGGTCTTCAAATCCAAGAACTTGCCGACGCCGCTGACCCTTGCACCTTGGACTTCCATCACGTTGACGACCAACGGGCGATTTATGGCAACCAATGTTGAAATGTTGTGCGTATATAGCTGTTTGATCGTGTTTGACTCAAGGATGTTTTCCCGATTTGGCAGTCGTTCGATACCGTAAGTCACCAACTTTGGGCTTCTGATCTCAAAGAAATGTTTCATGAGACAGCATGTGAGTGAAATGTGACATTCACATACATTCACAACACATGTGGGCGGTTCCACAAATGGGGGTACCCCAAAATAAATTGGTTATGAGTTATAATGGAAAATTTAGGGGTACCCCCATTTTAGGAAACCCATGGAAACCCCCATGTGTTTGACCTGAGTTCGTTCAGAGCCTCTGCCAAGGACCAGGTGTCTTCCTCGGATTGGCTGGCTGTCTTCCAAGATGTGTCCGACGCACAGACGGCCTTGTCTGGCGTGGAAGATCATGGGCACGGCCTGCAGTTTCGGATGGCCACCATCGCAGATATCCGACAGAAGGCCTTCAACAGGTGGGGACCGTCCCGGACTGGGACTGCTGTGGATTAGTGGTAGCCTCAAAAACCATCAAACACCAATGGAAGTTTGAGGCTATATTATGATATGGCTTGCAAGAGATTGCTCACATGATTGCAGATTGACCTCAATTGATCAGTGTTCTATGGCGACTTGTAAATGTTTGGACCCAGAGCTAGGAGTTGGCCTGGTCGATTGATGTTTGTTTCAAATCTATTCCCTCAAAACTCCATGCAGCAGGGTTATTCTGAGCTATGTCTGGCCATTTTTGGAGCGGGCGCTGCTTGCTTCAGGTTCAAGCAAGCGCCCAAGGAGGAGTTCATGCGGTTGCGCATCAACGGTCAAGAGCTCAGCGACGAGAGGAAACAGCGGATGATGGCATGTGACTCCAGGGGGATGGGAATCTTCAATCCATTTTCACAGGGATTTTATGTATCCATTATAAGGATTCCCATTTAATTTTGGGATGGATGAACATAATCCATAATATCTTGATAATATTAAAGGGCTACGCCCTCTGCCGCCGACCCCTGGACACTGGAGGGTCATGCCTGCCTCTGTGTCGTAAGCATGAAATGAACTCTAAAGAAACCAGAAACTGACTTAAACAAACCATTTGTATGAAAGTTGAAATCAAAGAACCTACAAGAAAACTAGCTGTCTGAGCTGTCTTCCTGCCGCCAAAAGCCTCACAAACGGCGCCTTCACCACACCAAAACAGCAGGGCCCTGAGGGACGGACCGGGCCTGCGGGCCACGGCTCTCACTGCCTAACGTTGCTTTCGGAACCTACAAGAAAACTTGCTCTCTGAGCTGTCTTCCAGCCGCCTGCCTAACGTTGCTTTCTGAATCGACAAGAAAACTAGCTCTCTGACCTGTCTTCCAGCCTAGTGCCTAACGTTGCTGTCTGAAACCAGAAGATCTCCTGGAAAGCGCCCGGCAGGTCGCCAAAGGACACGCTGCTGGGCCGCCAAGGGCGCCGGGAGACGTTTCGGTGCAGCCGAGTGCCTAACGTTGCTTTCTGAAACCAGAAGAAAATCTCCAGGAAAGCGCCCGGCAGGTCGCCAAAGGACACGCTGCTGGGCCGCCAAGGGTGCCGGGACACGTTTCGGTGCAGCCTAGTGCCTAACGTTGCTGTCTGAAACCAGAAGAAAATCTGCTGGAAAGCGCCCTGCAGGTCGCCAAAGGACACGCTGCTGGGCCGCCAAGGACGCCGGGACACATTTCGGTGCAGCCTAGTGCCTAACGTTGCTTTCTGAAACCAGAAGAAAATCTCCAGGAAAGCGCCCGGCAGGTGGCCAATAGACACGCTGCTGGGCCGCCAAGGGCGCCGGGACACGTTTCGGTGCAACCTAGTGCCTAACGTTGCTTTCTGAAACCAGAAGAAAATCTCCAGGACAAGATCGGCAGGTGGCGAAAAGACACTGCTGCTGGGCAGCCACACGTTTCGGTGCGTGCCTAACGTTGCTTTCTGAAACCAGAAGAAAATCTCCAGGAAAGCGCCCGGCAGGTGCCAAAGACACGCTGCTGGGCCGCCAAGGGCGCCGGGACACGTTTCGGTGCAACCTAGTGCCTAACGTTGCTTTCTGAAACCAGAAGAAAATCTCCAGGACAGCGATCGGCAGGTGGCCAAAAGACACGCTGCTGGGCCGCCAAGGGCCCCGGGACACGTTTCGGTGCAACCTAGTGCCTAACGTTGCTTTCTGAAACCAGAAGAAAATCTCCAGGAAAGCGCCCGGCAGGCGGCCAAAAGACACGCTGCTGGGCCGCCAAGGGCGCCGGGACATGTTTCGGTGCAACCTAGTGCCTAACGTTGCTTTCTGAAACCAGAAGAAAATCTCCAGGACAGCGATCGGCAGGTGGCCAAAAGACACGCTGCTGGGCCGCCAAGGGCGCCCGGACACGTTTCGGTGCAGCCTAGTGCCTAACGTTGCTTTCTGAAACCAGAAGAAAATCTCCAGGAAAGCGCCCGGCAGGTCGCCAAAGAACACGCTGCTGGGCCGCCAAGGGCGCCGGGACACGTTTCGGTGCAACCTAGTGCCTAACGTTGCTTTCTGAAACCAGAAGAAAATAGAGAAAATCTCCAGGACAGCGATCGGCAGGTGGCGAAAAGACACGCTGCTGGGCAGCCAAGGGCGCCCGGACACGTTTCGGTGCAGCCTAGTGCTTCACGTTGCTTTCTGAAACCAGAAGAAAATCTCCTGGAAAGCGCCCGGCAGGTCGCCAAAGAACACGCTGCTGGGCCGCCAAGGGCGCCGGGACACGTTTCGGTGCAACCTAGTGCCCAACGTTGCTTTCTGAAACCAGAAGCAAATCTCCAGGAAAGCGCCCGGCAGGTGGCCAAAGGGCGCGGGTGAGACGTTTAGGGGAAAGCAGCCTAGCCAAGACACGTTTCGGTGCAGCCTAGTGCTTCACGTTGCTTTCTGAAACCAGAAGAAAATCTCCTGGAAAGCGCCCGGCAGGTCGCCAAAGAACACGCTGCTGGGCCGCCAAGGGCGCCGGGACACGTTTCGGTGCAACCTAGTGCCCAACGTTGCTTTCTGAAACCAGAAGCAAATCTCCAGGAAAGCGCCCGGCAGGTGGCCAAGGGCGCGGGGAGACGTTTAGGGGCAGCCTAGTGCCTAACGTGGCCAAGGGCGCCAAGGGCGCGGGAGACGTTTAGGGGCAGCCTAGTGCCTAACATTGCTTTCTGAAACCAGAAGAAAATTTCCAGGAAAGCGTGGCAAGGGCGCCGCGAGGCCTTTGGAGGCAGGCTAGTGCCTAACGTTGCTTTCTGAAGCCACTAATAAAGCTCTTGGAAAGCGCCCAGAATCCTGGAAAAGCTTTTTCTCGGGCGCGCTCCCCCTGCAGATTGCTGGGGTCGGCGGATATTATGTTTTGACCGTGGCACATGTGACTCCATTGATCCATGTGGCGTTTTCTTGAAACTTGGCGAACACTGCAGCTCCTAGATTGTGTCTGAGGTGACAGCGTGGATGTCCGCAAAGCCAAGATAATGGTCTTGGACCTTCTTGATGAAGCTGGGAAATGAATCGGACATAGTGGGATGGTTTTCTGCTTGGTGCATATGTTCAATCATAATTATTTGGTATGATGATCCAGGCTGGCTAATATACGCCCACGCTTGAATCCCCAACACAAAAGTGTTTTTAAATGCCCCTATCAACGTGTTTTCCAGTTTGTACCACTCAAAACAAAGTTTTCGAAACACATGTTGTCATGGATGCGTTGCCCTTGAAGAGAACCTGGATGGAAGAACTTTGACTCGGGGTTTGTATTCTCCTACCCCTTCAAAAGATGTAGATGTACCTAGACCAGAAGCCTCATTTTGCAGTGAGCAGCGATTTGTTGGGGCCCTTCTGTCCATAATGTGTCCACCAAAATCATCCAAAATCAATTAAGTTGCACCACTTCCCAGCGTTTCTGGTTGTGCCCCAGGAATTGTCGGGCGCTTCAAAGGGCCCCCAGCGCGAACGTCGCAGAGGCTTGTGAGAACTGATAGCCACTTTGATATCAACCATAAATTGGGAGGGTTGATGAATTAAATTGTAGTACAGATTAGTACAGTTCAGTACGTACTTTTGGTATATCATACTGTACCATTTGCATCTTTGGGTTTTTAAGTGTTGATGATCCCGACATGTTTGTTTTTCCATGTTTTTCCAAGGGCCGTTCACCACCGACACGAATCTTCCCGACGATGCACCGGTGGTTTCTGATTTACATAATTGCTGCTAATGTAACAGAAGGTATCCTTAGCTTAGAATGCGTGTTATATAATATCTTTTGATGGTATTTATTTCGCGTGATCAATTTATATAAATTTATTCGCAAACTCCATGGCAACAGCGGTGATCCATGGCTGTCTTCTGCTCAAAAAGACCCCGGCGCGGGGGATCAATGAAGTGCCATGGAGCAGACCTGGGCAGAGACAAATTACGGCACCATTCAGAACGAGGAAACTGTGCCATGGTTTGGAAAGTTCATCATTGATGGAAAGAGTGATGGAATCATTGATTGAGCCATTGATGAATCATTGATGGGGATATAATATGGATTAATGGCACATGATATCTGTATAATAATATATATACGTATACATACATACATACATACATACATCCATGCATTGCATTGCATTGCATTGCATTACATTACATTACATATATATATACATATACGTATACATACATACATACATCCATACATCCATACATGTTTGCTGCACAATGGTATAATAAGTACGCAAATAATGTTGGTATGATGGATTGGGATACGAAACAGTCCAATCAAATTTGGGGATTTTCTGAGTCGTAGGGGACCCCCAACTGTCCATCCAGGTTGTTCATTCTTGGGAAACCACAGGTGAAAAGGGGTGCCCCTACGCCCCGGCGATTTGGTTTGCCATGGCTGATTCAGATGTCAGGATGGCAAAGATACCAAATACGTCCCAAGAGAGGATGAAACTGGGCCTGAGAAGTCTGTGATCTCCATCGGTTTCTTGGTTGGCTCTGGGGATATTCGCTGAGTTTTCAGAAAGTCTGTGCGAATCCTTGGAATTTGGATAGCATTTGGTTTCTACATGCCTTTTCCAGTGGATTTCAATTTACCTAAAGTCAAAGGATGATGGATGAGTTCCATCCACAGCGATTCTTAGTTCTTATACAACTGAAACTGAGAAAGGCTCCCAATATAAGTTATACACACGAGGTGTCAGAAATTGAAAAAACATGTCACCCCATTCTCATGGTTGAAAGTGAACAAGGTGTTGTTTTCCAAGGTGTTTCCCATGGTTTTTCCATATGGTTTTTCCATGGCTCAGGTTTACAGCTGGTGATTTATGGCCTGGCCATTGCTTTGCTGGTGCTGATCTTCGTCATTCCATCACCCTTGATCGACCCCAAAGGGGAGGGTCACCATGCTGAGCACATCAAGCAGGGACGCCAGATGGCACCTTGGGAGAGAACCCTTGGTTTCCCTAGAAAAATCATCTACCAATGGTGGGTAAACACCACATCTATGTGAGCTTACAGGAGGGTAACTTGATGTAACTTGTTAAGATCACCCCGAAGAAGGGGTTGTGGAATGTTATGGATGTGTCTGAAAATGGTGGTAATAATTGAAAAAATTGAAAACATCCACCAAACATAAAGATACTCATTGGGAAAAAAAGCTGGTCACAACCCATGAACAAACAGGGGTACCTTTTTTTCTGACCACATGTCACCAGGATCTGAGATGATCTCCGGTGTTGGTTTCGATGTTTGATGGCTAGATCAAGCTCCCGTTTGGTTGTTCCTTAAATGCAGGGGCCTCATATTATGAATCATGACCATCACCAATTCTTGTGAGTCCAGGTCATGAGAAATATTATCTATGGTACATTAGCAGCTGGATGCCTGGCATATTTGATGCAATTCCTACAGCAGCCCTTGATTTTGGGCTACTTGCTGGGCGGCGTTCTCGTTGGACCCATTGGCCTGCGCCTCATCATTGATGAGCACGAGATTGTGACCATGATCCTGGGTGCCAAGTGTCCAAACGTCGGTACGACCCAGGGAAGTACAATCTTTACTTGAAGTCGTTTTTTTCCTGAAGACTAAGTCTGGTCAGTTGAGTACTGGATCTTCTTTGTACTTCGATAAGTGTGGAATCTCAGAGCTTGAGGGTGTGTTTTCCGCTGGAACTTATAAAGATGCTGCCTGTTCCAGTCCCCGAATTACTTCAAAACAGAAACTTTGGGGATCAGAAAAGTCTTGATACCAGTAGTACCGCACAAGGCGGTGGCGGAAGTTTCAAAAATAGGAAACCTATAGGAGACGTTGGTTGTTGTGAATCAGGGATGGCAGAGCGAAGCCACTGATTGACCGAAAGGTGGTTGGAGTTGTGTTTGCTGGAGTGGTTGCAACGGTTGCAGTGGTCACCTCTTCCTCACCTGCTGGATGTAGTGTGATGTACTGCAACTGTAGTTGTAGTTGTAGCGTAGTGGGGTTGTAGTTGCGGTGTAATGTAATTAGTGTAGTGTAGTTGCAGTCATATAGTTGTAGCTGTAGTTGTTTTGTAGTTGTTGTAGTTGTAGTTGTAGTTGTTGTTGTTGTTGTTGTGGTTGTTGTTGTTGTTGTAGTTGTAGCTGTAGTTGTTGTGTGGTTGTAGTTGTTGTGTAGTGTAGTTGTAGTAGTAGTTGTTGTTGTAGTTGTAGTTGTTCTGGTTGTTGTTGTTGTTGTTGCTGTTGTTGTTGTTGTTGCTGTTGTTGTTGTTGTTGCTGTTGTTGTTGTTGTTGTTGTTGTAGTTGTTGTAGTTGTAGTTCTAGTTGTAGTTGTTGTGTAGTTGTTGTAGTTGTAGCTGTTGTAGTTGTAGTTGTTGTGGTTGTGGTTGTTGTTGTTGTTGTTGTTGTCGTCGAAGTTAGGGTAGTTAAGTTAGTATAGTTAGTGAAGTTAGTTAAGTTAGTCAAGTTAGTTAAGTTAATCAGTGTCTACTTTTTCGACATCTTCACGTCAAAAAAGGCTCAAAACCCTCAGTTTTTTTACACTTTTGACTTCGAAATGTGCTTCGCGCCACAACGGCGTGCACTTTATCGAAACTCCACATCTCAGCTTCCAAAAGTGGTCCGAACCCCTGGTGTTTTGCACATTTCGACTTCGAAATGTGCTTCGCGCCACAACGGCGTGCACTTTTTCGAAACTCGACCTCTGAGCCTCCAAAAGTGCTCCGAACCCCTAGTGTTTTTAACATTTTGACTTCCAAATGTGCTTCGCGCCCCAACGGCGTGCACTTTTTCGACATCGCAACTTCCAAAAGTGGTCCGACATTGGTGTGTTTTGTACATTTTGACTTCCAAATGTGCTTCGCGCCACAACGGCGTGCACTTTTTCGACATCGCAACTTCCAAAAGTGGTCCGACATTGGTGTGTTTTGCACATTTTGCCTTCCAAATGTGCCTTCGCGCCACAACGGCGTGCACTTTTTCAACATCTCAACTTCCAAAAGTGGTCCGAGGTTGCGGTGTTTTGCACATTTTGCCTTCCAAATGTGCCTTCGCGCCACAACGGCGTGCACTTTTTCAACATCTCAACTTCCAAAAGTGGTCCGAGGTTGCGGTGTTTGGCACATTTTGCCTTCAAAATGTGCTTCGCGCCACAACGGCGTGCACTTTTTCGACATCTCAACTTCCAAAAGTGGTCCGATCCTCTAGTGTTTTGTCCATTTTGACTTGGAAATGTGCTTCGCGCCACAACGGCGTGCACTTTTTCATGTCTCATCTGGCCAGCTGGCTCCGCACCTGCCGCTTTAGCGAGCCTACTTTTCGACCCTCCGGAGCCACAAATCATTGGAAAAACACAGTGAATCGCGACTTTCCTATCTTTTCGCGCATCTACATCTTCTTTCTTCTGATCTTTTCTCTTCTGACTCTTCTCACCTCTGCTTTTCAACTGTCCATATTGTCGGAAGCATAGCTTCTAAACTTCCTTCGATAATCCTGCTACCAGATGACATGAGAAGTTGCATTTGGAAGGCAGTTTGAGTGCTCAGGAGTGAGTTGGGTCTGATTTTTTTGCTCTTCATGATCGGTTTGGAGCTGAATGTCGAGGAACTGGTACATCTAGGACAGGCTGGCTGCAATTTGTTGCCCAGTTTTATTAACCCTTGGTGGTTGCAACAAAAATCTGGGATATCACTGATGTCACCAGCCACCAGCAAGAATGGTGATTCAACTTCGAAACATGGGGATGTAATTTATGTAATCCCTATAGGCTGGTTGGTTGCATGCGCGCCATTTGACAAAACTTGACCCTGGTAGGACGCAAGATCTGTGTCTCCGGACTGCTGCAATTTCCCTGCTGCGTTGCGTTTCACTTTCTGGCCTTTGCAGCACTTGGTATGAGCGGCCTGCCCGTGGATGACAGACCCTTGGCGGGGTCCATAATTCCGGCGTCTTGCAACATCTTGCAACACTTGATCCCTGGGATTTTGACGGCCATTAAAGCCAGGCCACTTGGGACTGGTATATATAGCCGTGTGCTGCGGCATGTCTTCAACCATGATCGTGGTGAAGTGCAGTTGACAGCAAGTGCTGTGCCATGTCTTCAGGAGCTGAGTGCAGTTGACAGCAATTGATCGATGTGGGATGGGTTGATGGTTGAAGCATGTTGAGAATACCAACCAGCATTAAGCGTTGGGAAAATTGTGGAATATTGTGGAATAGAATGGTCGGAAAGCTGTTGGTTTTCTTCATAGGGACAAGGGCTGATCTTGGGCAGGACAAGGATGAGGCAAAGACCGAAGCTGGTCAGATCTCCATTGGTATTCTGATTTTTCAAGACGTTTGGGCAATCATTGTCCTTGCAGTTCAGAATCACTTGGACAGCCCCAGAGTGTTTGCCATCGCCAAGACATTCACGATTATGCTGGCCATGGTCTCCACGTCTGCTGTCTTTGTTACTGTATATTATATATATAATTATATTTGAATAGATGTGCCTTTTTTGGGTAGAGCCAGATTAGCATATACCATCATATACCCAAAGTCTGTCGTTTTCTGCGTATTTTATTGATGACCAAATGCCCATCGTAAATAAGATGATTGCTCTACAGACCTTGGCTCAGAGGTCATTCCTCTATGCAAAGTATGTCATGCCCGTGCTTCTGGAGAGCGTGACACTTCCGGAGACTGGGATATTGTTTATTTTGCCACACGGTCAGGGCTCTAGAATGGTGCGCTTATTCAATTGCAATGTGTCCCCATGTTTTGACAGAGCCAAGTTGCTCTTGCGTCTTGCTGAGGAAATGAAAATGGTATTGCTGCTTGACTGCATTTCTTCTGTGCAACTCAAGACATCTCAAAACTAGGTTTGTCCTTGTTTTTCTCTAGTAGAGAATTCTACAAATTGCTTTGACATATTACATACCCATTTACAGTCTCTCATGTTTGAATTGGTTGATAATACTACTCAGAACACCTTTTTGAGAATGAGATCTGAAATAAATGTCTTCAAGAAGCATGACAGCTCCTTCATGCTCCTTCTTATTTGTTTACACAGTGCAATCCCAAGAAATCCTGAGGTCCCTCTGCTGGTGTTTCTTCGTTTGTGCTGCTGCACTGTTGCCCTTCGTCTCTGTTTCGATGGAGCTGGCCGCTCTGATTGCTGGTGCTTCACTGGCCAGTTTCTCCTATAGTAAGGCACCAGAAGTACTCATTGTGTGTGTGCGCCTTTCTTGGAGATTGGGAATGTTGAAACGGTTTTAGCATGTTTCAGAGAAGAGATCGATGTACTCTTGTACAGCACATTTGTGGCATCGTGTTCCCTGGCAGGAGCTGGTTCACCAGATCAGATACATTCGAGACTGGACGGTCTTTATGGTTCAACAGGGTACCAAACCAAAATTCATGTGGGATGGACATGAAATGGATATGGAATCGAAATAAATCGAATGTATGATTGAATATTGGATTAGGATGGATTGGATTCATCTGGTAAGTACTGGAAATAACTTCGGGTGGGCTGAGATTAACGATTAGATAATGGGATTTTTTGAGCATTTTAGATAGCCGATATAACCGTCCTTGTTTGGCAACAAAAAGATAGATTCTGCTAGGTACATTTGTTGTCACAAGATAGATGTAAACTCAACGGACTTGAAACAAAGGAGTCTGGACGTATTTTCCAAACCATGTCAAACCTGTTTTGCTGAACCCAAATTGACCTTTCGTTCTGGCAGTTTGTTCACAACCCAGGAGACTTTTTCATTACACTTTACTTCGTCTCGCTGGGTTTGCAGATACCCATTCCCAGCAGCCATGTGACTTCGGCAGATTCAGGCATTTAGCAAAGGAAGAAATGTGGAAAAAGTTCAGAGTTTGGGAAGAAGAACTTTTTGGGGGGATGTTGAAAGTCGTCGAAAGTCATGTGAAAAGCAATCCATCAGGTGATATTTTGTGCCACCTGCATTTCCATGGTGGTGCTTCTGGGAAGATGGTTGGGAATCTTTTGCCCCATCTACTTCCTGGGTGGTGACGTGCGACCTGCCGTACTGTCAACTGTGAATCTCTCACAAGTCAGTGAGTTTGCCTTGGTTATTGGTGGCATTGGCTACAAGCAAGGCCAGGCTTTGAAGGGTCAAAGACTCAAGAAACGGGACGTGTTTAGGTCCAACGGAGCTACGAGGGGCTCTGTTGAATGTGTTCGCCCAGAATATCCCAAAATGATCCATCATGACTATGGTTCTAAAGAAAGACCCTGGATCGTGGTCAACTAGAGGGTTCCAATCATGACCAATACGCATGCATACTCGCTTACTACCCTCAGATGTTGGTCAGATTGGTTGGGGCAGGTAGCAGGAAAGTTGCACGTCACAGGAACTATTTTTAAAAATACATGTGGTTGGTTCTTTTTTGGAGGTTATCTTAAATGTTATCAACCTACCTGGGTCTACCTGGTTGATGTTTGCTGGTAGAAATTCTGTGTTTCCCACAGGTCATCTGCCCCGAGAAACTTTGACGCTGCTATCTTGGGTCTTCATTCTATTGGCGGTGCTCTCTGCCCCGCTGATGGACCATACTTCCACCGTGGCTTGGCACATGGCCGGGTGGAATCCAACAAGTGGCATCAAGGCATCAAGTGGAACCATCTAAGGCCGAGAGAGATCTCTAGTGATTTTTCGAAGTCCAGCTGGTTCGTCATCCTTCCCATCAGTCTGAGTGTCAATGCGACATCCATGAACTTCCTGTATAAAATCTGAAACTCCTTACTACAGCAATGCATCATATTGCATCTCAATGTGCAAATACAGTACCGCTACTGAGATCTAAAGAAATTGTTGCCTACTACTTTGGGACAACCAAGCATTGCTTTTGGAACTAGTGCAGAATATACAGCCCATGAAGCGCGATTCAGGCGTGAGCAAGAGCCACATGGGATCTAGACTCCATCCAGCATACAAGCCATAGATGTTACCAGATAGATAAGATGTAGATAAACAGATACGCGTAACTATCTATGTTTGTGTATATATATATAATTATATATAATTATATATATACACACGTATTACAGCCAGCCCGGAACAATTGCAGCTTTGAGGTATACCAAAAGGCATCCTTGACAAGTCCAAATGTAGAGAAGCTGGCGGAGTCTGCGTAAAGAGGAACTGGCAGCTGTGCAGAGCTGCTCTGGTGGCCAACCAGCTTGAAGTCCTTGTCGGACACATAAACAGAGCAAAATACATACAGTAAATGTTATGCGTATGAATCATTGCATATCATTGCATAGTTCTACGTATGTATATGTAATATGTATCTGTGTATAAATATATATATATCTCTATCTATCTATCTATTGTATATGTATGCAGTGAACATACAACATTATTATATAGATTCAGAGTATCTGAAAGCTGCAGCATGCAGTGAGGATACCTGGTTGGGGTCCCCTAAGATCTTCATCATCTAATGTTCCGTCCCTGAAGAAACATGATGCAAACAATATTCACACCAACCAGTATATGTTGGTTGCTTTGTGCAGCCGCTCTTGACTCGGACGCACAAAAGCCGTGAGTCTCTGTCCCAGACCGCGACCTGGTCGATATCCAAAAAGGGGCGGCTGTTGCAGGACGGTCTTGGTGCTTTGCAGAATGAGGAAAGCCACGCTAGAATCGACCACTTGACCGTCTCTCCCGGGAAACTCTCAATCCAAAAAGATGCATCTACATATAGTCTACATATATCATCATATATCTACATGGAAGTTGGCCAAGTTCTGCAAAATGATCTGATTCCTCTGGCGAAAAATATGCATTAGTATCAGTACTGCTCGAGATTGGTGTCAGAAATTTCCGAGGAATTGAAGCGATAGATTATGAACGATATTTTTGTGGCTGTTCTATTGTCTGAAACGGGGTTGTGTAGTGCTTCGAAAAATTTTTGTATACCCACTTGTTTCTACTCGTAGTGTAAATGGATGTAAAATGGTAGGTGTATGTAGATCTACCATGATCAACGTGAGCTGCGGATGTGATGAGCAAGTCTGTAGCAGAACATACTATTGCCGCCCCACAATATGTATTGTACATGTGTATATACTCGTACGTATAATATCATATTATGTATATATATATTATTATTTTTATTATTATAACTATTATTATTACTATTATTATTAATGTGTGATATCATATGCAGCATACCATGTATCTGAACATGTACGACACAGGGGTTCTAGGTTTGTCCCAGTCCCAGGTGCCTCCGGGATCTCAAAACGCTTTCACCGTTGGGATATCGTAAGATGACCTGACAGGTGGAGCAGACGGTTCGGTGGAGGAAACACTCTCCGTGCCAGTGGGACGCATTGGTCACCTCATTGGAAAGGCGCCGCGAAGCGGGGTCGTTCCCACAATGAAGCTTTGGGTCACAGCACTTGTACCGGGTCTAATTGGAGAGATGGCCTATTCCATGGGAATCCCTACTATGACAGATTTTCTTAAGCAAAAATGTATTGGGAAACCGCATATTTGGCTGATAGACCCACTTTTCTGTAAATGTTTCCTTAAACCAATCCAGTGAAACTAACGCGCGTTGCACCCTTTCGGCAACAGTGTGGAAAGAATATTCAGTCCTTGGAGGAGCTGACTGGTGCCAGACTGCGCGTCACTTGGAAGAAAGGGGGTCGCCTGGATTGTTAAAAGATGTTAAAAGACTGATGTCCTGCTGACCTTAGATGATTTTATAAAATGTGGGAAACCCAATAATAAACCTACCACTTGGGGATGGTTTATGCCACCCATTACCACCCCTGTATGGTGATTTGGGGGATGCTTGATTATTGGGTTTACCATGGTTAGATGATTTTGAGATGATTTTGATATGTTCCGATGTTCAATGGCGACTCATGTTCACCCCTTTCAGCCCTTTACGATCTAATGCTGGATCTGGCTGGGCTCATCAAGCCATCGACTCACGAATAAAGGCGGGATCGAAATAAACCCCTTGGATCCCTTGGGCAATTTATGACCATCGGATACAAGTCCAATAGGAAAACATCTAGGAATTGGGCATGCTCCATCACTATCTTTGATTGCAGAGAATATATCCTATCCATTCAACTGGCTCGGAACCTCGAGGTGCTGAAGGCTGAAGATGAAGATGAAGAGCCAGAGGAGCAAAAACTTCTGGTCTCGGGTACACCAAAAGCAGTGGAGTGCCTTGGTTGACTCACAGTGCATGGGATGGTATACGATGTCCACGGGATCTTTCTGCAGTCGAAACGAATCCATTGCATGGGTTGTCTTTTTGTTACAGGTCGCAAGGTTACTCCCATGTGGCCTTGCAGGGTTTTTGCATGTATTTGAAGAGTTGTACGTGATTGCTGCCTCGTTTTTTCTTGCGTAGATGTCATTTGCATGCGTAACAGTAGCACTGAAAATGTGCCCTATTCTCTTTGCTGTAGTTTATTTGCACCTAATGTTGCATGGAGTCCTGCGACTAGCGATCACGGATTGAAGCCGTGGTTCTCTTTTAATGTTTCGTCTTGATCATCCAATTTTGAAGCCAAGAGCTCTTGGATCGGGCATGATTACAAATTGACGATACTGGAACAAATCGTTCCTACTCATTCACAATTGGTTTGCACAAAGTGTGGGTGTGCTTCTCCCTTTCTCACAGGGGTGTAGGCCAAAACTCTTCTTCCCTGTTGAACTCCCAAAATTCTATGCAGTACTAATATGCATACGTGTATTATGACTACATATACACATCTACACATATCTAGACACCATATGGATTTTGTTGTAGATTAGCCGCGAATTAGCCCAGGATTTTGATTCTACCCCTGGATGCGTTTGGTTTCGGCGTCCCTGAGTTTGGCAAAGCAACATCTGGCGAAGTACATCCCAAATCTGCCGGAAGTGGACCCAACAGCCTCAGGTGCGGGAGATGTGATTCCAAGATGTCCACAGATCTGCAGGTTTGTCTCATATTGGAGATATAGTATGCGAATGTTATACAGTTATATGTATGTTATACAGTTATACTGTAGTTATACTATGTTGTAGTAAATGAATATAAATGAATATGGTTCTATTTCATAAGTGATGATAAACTTTGGCCAACGACAGCATCCTCGGAGGTGTCCCCGAACGTCGAAAGATCGCAGACGCAGCGCCAGCGCCAGAAACGGCGACGGGACCCGACCTTCATGGCCAACGTTCCAGGGCTGCAGAGGCATGGCGGATGGGAGAATCGGTTCAGGGGATGCATATCCAGCTACGACCTGAAATAGTGAACAGCAGGGTGCCAAAATGTTGACCATTGACCCATACCGGACCATGCCTATTTGATATATTCTGATATGATATGATCATGTTATGTGATGGGTTTGCACAGTGGAATGCGAGATAGGTCAAAATAGTATATTTAAAAAGTGGATGGGGTTGAGAGTCCTTGATTTAGCTAGTCTTTTGTTCATTCCATGATCCCCTGCAACAATGTCAAAACATTTGGAATAGGGTGAAGCCACCTAGCAGACCTAGCAGACTCCAATGTTTATCAAAGTATATAATGTTTTATCGAAAACGACCGGTCCATGCTAAGTCTCGGGTCTTTGATTGCAGGTCTTGGCGGCGGCAGGTCGCGGCCGCAAGGCCGTCAAGGCCGTCAAGGAAGAGGCTCGCGATCGTAGTAGTGGCCCAGCTGGAATCATGCTGCTGGGTTCAGGACTCTGGAAAATGTATGTGATGTTCATATATTTTCATATTATATGGATTTTAGATATATGTGATGGTATGATATAATATGTGTATATTATACATCGTTTGGGTGGATGAAGATTCACAACTACCACTTTTTGATGTGAAAGTCAGGCCATCAGGGTTTGATCAATGGCCATATGTGGCTTTCCAGCAATTTCAGGATCAGCCAACGAGATCATTGATTTCCGTTTGCATAATGTGAGGAAGAGACTCCTTGCCTAAGCAACCAGACCCTGGTCATGAATATTTAGAAAAGGGACGACCCGAAGAAATGATGTGTTCTTTGCAAGTCTATTTCGGTGATTCAGGCTCAAATAGCTTCACTCACCAAGCAGATCAGGTAGCCAATACATTGACCTACGTAGAAGACCTTCGCTTTGTTGTGTCACAATTCCTCAACTGTCCTTGTTGCAATATCCCATTATCATCATTTGCCATAACTATATGTATATATATATATTTGGATTCCAAATATAGTGCAGTATTCCGAATTCCCATTATCACACTTTAGGGTTGCATGTTTGCAAATATACCATGTACATGGACGGTGTGTGTTTGCACAGGGTGATCTATGTCCAATTGGCACATCATCAAACAATTCACAAGTCAGCACTCCAAGTGACATTTACCAGCCCCTCTACTGGTTACATACCCATCATAAAATACAATACCAATACCAATACCAATACACACACATACACACATACACACATACCATTCCGTTGCGTTGCATTGCATTAAATCATTTAGTTACGTTACATTACATTATATTACATACACGCATATCACATATCTATACATACCCCACATATTTGCTGGTGAAATCTCCGAATGCTGAAGTCCGTTCATGATGGTATTGAAAATCCATACGTTGTCTGAATCACCCATCAAGCGGGATTGAAAAAAGACAGTCATCGCTGGCACAGTAAGTGGACATTCAAATCGCTCAGTTTCATAAATTACACAGCTATAAGATACCCATGAACATATCCTCTATAAAATGAGAGGGGTCAAGGCATGCCATATTTCGTTTTGTGTACCTCCAGCTGCAGCCCTTCAGGGGGTCACTCACCCTATTTTATAGTGATTTTAAGGTTGTAGGTGAAATCTGTCGAGATTTGTTCAGGTTTTTGCAGTGCAGCCATGATCCAGGTTGTTCTTATCCACAGCCATTGATCATTTGATCAAAGATGCCTCGGGTGGGGGCACAACCTCTGAAAGGGATGGCAGATGCTGGCTCAATCACCAACTTCATGGTGGGTTGAAAGGTTGAGGCCAGCCATTTTATAGTGGCAGCACTTGGAAATCATACAAGTAGCCATACACTATTCCAAAATGGCCCATTCAAACGCCGGGGCTGGCATCAAGGAATGCAAAAGGATGGCAGATGCTGGCTCAATCACCAACTTCATGGTGGGTTGAAAGGTTGAGGCCAGCCATTTTATAGTGGCAGCACTTGGAAATCATACTTGTAGCCCACGCTGTTCCAAAATAGCCCATTGAGAGGCCAGGGCTTGCATTTGGAGGCATTGGAAGCAAAATCCAGGAATACAAAAGGATGGCAGATGCTGGCTCAATCACCTATTTCATGGTTGGTTGAAGGTTTAAGGACAAGTAGCCCACACTATTCCAAAATTGCCCATTGAAAGGCCAGGGTTGGCACTGGGCGGCATTGGAAACAAAATGAAGGAATGGCAAAATCAAAATGAAGGAATGGCAAAATGGTTTGATTCTAAGTGAGGTGCTGAAATCTGTTGACTTGCGCCTTGACCATTTGTAAAGGGAACCAGTCATTTTATAAAGATTTTATAAGTAATTTCCAGGTGTTCTGGGGTCAGGCCCCCTCAAAATATAGTGTTTTCATTTGGGTTGGGGCCACTCATTTTATAAGCAGTGTCTAGTCATTTTATAGTGAAAACCATTTTATGTCTATAAAATGGCTTGCAGGACCCCCTCCCGTGTATGTTCATAGGGATGCTATAAGTGTCTATAATGAATTATAATGATATGTATCCTATGTGTACACATTATATTTACATATGTGTATATACATATTCGCATTTATCCATTCTATATGAATCTTATATCTTACCAACCAATACTTGGTCTATAAGATGATATTATCTATATCTATATATATAATATATATATATACATCATACATGTCTTACTGGTAGAATCTGTCTTTCTTTGCCAAGGCTCCACCGACTCACGCACGCGCGTGAAGCGCTTGCGCGAGCGGAAGCGTGGCATTAGCCTGGAGGAGACCAGGGCCGAGAAGGTCACTGGTTAATAGTGGTTACTATTGGTTCGTAAAAATTAAAGGTTAGTAATGGTTAGTAATGGTCGGTAATGGTTAGTAATGTTTTTTGGTTATTAACGGTGATTTGTCCGAAAAAATATTCCATTGTGACATACAGGAAGCACCAAGCCGATTTGCGTCACCATCTCCGAAAGGCATTGACCTCTCATTGGCAGGCACCACCTGAGCACCACCTGGCACATACTTGTCACATGTCCATGTGCCAGGAATATCAAATCATGCTGCGCAAGCAGAAGGAGCTGGATGCCGCAGCTGCAAGAGCCAGGGACTCCAGAGACTCAGGGACTCCAGGGAGTGGATCAATGCCTGCAGGGGTTGATATAGTAAAAAAAGAGGATCAAAGAGGTAAACCCCACAATAAACCACCCTTAATGATGGTTTATTGATGTTTATTGGGTATACTGTACCTCTTTTGCGGATAAATAACCCTCAAATGGCTGGTGAATGGGGTGGTTGATTGTTGGGTTTGCCACATTACAGGGGTTGTCTGTTATAACCACCAATGATAGTGTGATCAGAATCCCTCTACTACGCTGGCCAGAAAAGGACGCCGCCCATTTCTGGCAACAAAAGGATGGCTTGTTATTGGGTTTACATGTTTTATCACCTTACATATGTGTGCATACACATACATACTGTATATATATATATAATCATATTATGTGTGCCTTATCTTACTATTATTGTGATTGTTGCTACTCGTCATCCTTATTCCCCAACAGCGTGAGCTAATGGGGTCTTCAGCCCAGAATAGCTCCGGTGTGCACTGATGCAGGCGCCGGGTCAGGTTCAACGAGGTTCCGGAGAAGGTTCCGAAGCTTCCGGAGAAGGTCTGGGAGGCTTTGGTGCAGAGCCAGGTCGGGTTTAACAGGGTTCGGAGAAGGTTCCGAAGAAGGTTTGGGAGGCTTTGGTCCAGAGCCAGGTCAGGTTCAACAGGGTTCCGGAGAAGGTTTCCAGGAAGCCTTGGTGCAAAGCCAAGTCAGGTTCAACAGGGCTCCGGAGAAGGTTCCGGAGAAGGTTGCAGGAAGCCTTGGTGCAAAGCCAAATCAGGTTCAACAGGAGAGGCTTTGGTGCAGAGCCAGGTCAGGTTCAACAGGGTTCCGGAGAAGGTTCCGGAGAAGGTTCCGGTGAAGGTCTGGGAGGCTGTGGTGCAGAGCCAGGTCAGAGTCAACTGGGTTTTGGAGGGGAGGCTTTGGGGCAGAGCCAGGTCAGGTTCAACAGGGTTCCGGAAGGTTCCGGAGAAGGTCTGGAAGGCTTTGGTGCAGACCCAGTCAGGTTCAACAGGGTTCGGGAGAAGGTTCCGGAGAAGCTCTGGGAGGCTTTGGTGCAGAGCCAGGCCAGATTCAACAGGGTTCCAGAGAAGGTTCCGGAGAAGGTTCCAGAGAAGGTTCCAGGAGGCTTTGGTGCAGAGCCAAATCAGTTTCAACAGGGTTCCGGAGAAAGTTCTGGAGACGGTCTGGGAGCCTTTGGTGCAGCCAGGTCAGGTTCAACAGGGTTCCGGTTCCGGAGAAGGTTCCGGAGAAGGTCTGGGCTGGGAGGCTTTGGTGCAGCCAGGTCAGGTTCAACAGGGCTCCGGAGAAGGTTCCAGCGCTTGGCTTCGCAGCGCGCTTCAGAAAGATTTGTAACAATAAAGCGTTGCGGCTGTTGGGGATACCACCGAAGCTTATTTTTGTTATTAGTGGTATTGTGTTTACTCTTATTATGTTTATTATCATTTCTTCTTTTTTTCTTGCTATCACTATATATATATATATATCATACACATAGAGTGTATACATAGCTTATAAATGTATATACATCCTCTATTGTGGGGTAATGTTGCGTGCTTACTTGATAATATCTCCAGGCAGAAGAGTCCGCTGAGAACGCCCGTGCCTATGCGCAGAAAGTGGCGGAGGCGGATGCATCGATCGTTGAATCTCAAGGGAATACAATTGGGTATTTGATGGGGATATAATGGGGATAAAAGTTGGTATTTAATGGGTGTTTAATGAGAATCAAATGGGATATGGAACCAACTTAAGATGGTGCGGGTGTGTCCGAAAAAGAAAATTGACAGTGAGTAGGGAAATGATGATGAAATTTTGGATTCTCAGGTGCCCTATTTTCAGACAACCCCACGTAGATCATAGATTTCATAGATGGCATTATCCTGGAAGTTGCAGTTGATCAGACGAAAATGAATCAAAAGAAATTATATAAGTTGCAGGGAGCTGGTTTGCGTGGATGTGCGTCAAAATGATTTACAGTTGCAACTCAATTTGATGTGGTTGAAAACCGCTAGACAGAAACGTCTTTGCAGACAGATCGTCAATTTGAACGCCAGCTACCAGTCGCACCGCCGGCTCCAGGAGGATCGTCTTCGCGCTGAAGAGGTTGGTTACAAATAGTTGAGTTGGATAGAAAGAAAGAAAGCGTGGACACATAAAAAACGACAGAGAATCCGCAAAAAACACAGAGAAGCAGAAAATATGTAGAGAAATCAGCAACTTTGCTGATCAACAAAATCTTCAGGTGGATGACTGCTTCGACTGGGAGGAGGACCAACCTCTGCTAGTCGGTGATTTGGAGCCAAATGCTGGATGTGACCGATGTGACCGATGTGACCTGGTTCGACCTGCCAAGGATGCAGAAAAAGGGGATGTAACCATCATTCAACTTTAGCTGATGCACACTTGAAATCTGGTCAGTGACTTGAGAAGTTTAATGACGTTTCCATACTAACTTGGAATAAATAACCCTAATTGACAGACGTTTATGGGATGAGTTCAAGGGCTGAATACAGAAGGAAGAGAGATGCCAAATTCCTATTGCTTTCTGGGTGTCGACATTAAAAGTGATCCATCAAAGTCCTTTAAGCTTTCAAGAAAGGCCTCTGTCGATACGAATAAGTGAGCTCAACCCATCTTTACTCGGAAACTGATCAGGACCATGCTGTTCTGTCAGCAGTTCCCAAAGTTGTGTCCAAATGGAAACTGATAGAAGGGCTAGTTCGTGGTTCTAGACATGTTTTCCATTCAACAATATTTGGGATGATGGACCCCAATTGACATTTGCCATGATTTTTTGGCCACCACGAATCAGCCGTTCACGCTGGAGGACAAAGGGCCTTCAGCCTTGGGACGTCTGGCAGTCACCAGCTTTGGCGCTGGCAGAGTGTCGCTCGGATAGGGAACTGATGGCCAATTCCAAGGAGTTGGGGAATCTGTGTGCAATTTAACGCGATCTAACGCGTTTTAAGGCGTTTTAACACGTTTAACCGTGGGAATCTCAACCTTGGAAAATCATGGAAAATCCTGGAAAATCCACCATTGGATCTTCTGAGTTTCGATGCACTGGCCGAGGTCTCGAGTGGTGTGCACACCACAAAACCGACGCTACATGAGTTTCGATTTGTTCTCCGGTGGCTCTCTACAAGTGCCGGAGGCACCTGCCAGGGTCGGAAGGGTCGGAACACGGCTTTATGGATAGTGATACAATATGATACAATGATATGAAACAAGAGTTCGGAATGATTCTAATACTTCCACGAAACGGAATGGTTCACACGAAACTGAGGAGGTTCCTGCTAGAGCATGCATATGCATGTGCACATATGTGCACTATGCGGAAGTAACCACCTTTGCTACATGGTCGGACATGTATATACGTGTATGTATCTAGATATGCATATAATTTATGTACATATGCACATACTTGTGCCCCTATCTAGATAGACTCTTGTGGAGGTTGGAATAGCTACATTGGCTGGTTGAATTGGAAAGATTCTCACGATCCTGAAGGCCTTTCCCAATTTCTGAAATTCATGGGAAGATCCCAGGCCAGACTACGACGAATTAGATTAAACTGAGAGACGTGGACCCAAAATGATCAAAGATGTTGTTGGATGCTTTTGAGTGTTTTTGTCTCTATGCGATGTGACCAAAAGTCTCCAAAAAATGTGGCATACCCCGGTTTATGACCATTTTTATGAGGAAAATGACGACAAAGCCATGGGATTTTGGACCATATTGGCAGGCTCGTGCACTTCCCTGGCTAAGTGTCGTCGAGAACGCCTTGGGCAGCCGTGCAGGGTCCCAAGGGGGAAACTGCACAGAAGGGAGGGATAGTGGTTGGCCACCTTGTTCAATAGGGATAGTTATCAACCTACAACATCCTACAACTCAGACTTTATGAACATGGACAACCAATATCATGGGAAAGGGACAAAAACATATGGGAGATCTTACCGGAGGAAATGTGCCAAAAGCCTTGAACGCTGACAGGTGAGTGCGCCAGTTCCATGGGTAGACCAAGGAGAGAGCCGAGTCCTGGCACAGTCAGAGATGGGATGCTGATGAATCCCCAATGTATCCCCAATGTATTCAATAGATTTCAATAGATTTCATAGTATAGGCCCCTCTAATCATCAACCAACAGGGGAGCAGAGTTTAGCAGACCCAGGGAATCCCGGAGATCTTGGATAGAGCGACCTCACCACGATGTCATTCTAACGATTAGGAAGGGAACTTAGCCCCAAAATTGCGTTGTTCAAAAAGATTAGGGAATTAAGTGCTGTAGTTAATCCAGATGTTGTTGGTACTCTACTCTGACACCTACCTGGACATGATCATAGTTGGTTGGGGCCGAAAATGATTAATTTCGAAATCCGATGGTAGTACATTACAATATTATAATACCACACAAATCAGAAGCGACAAAATGTGTGCTCCCTGGGTAGCAATTTTCGATCCGTGCCCAAGTATCGAGCACAAAAAAAAAACCAAGCACAGGCGCATAGAAAGGCCATGTCCCAACTGATCAAGACGAGTGGGTGCCAGACACCCCGTCCAGGCAGTCTTTGCTAGGCTTCTTCAAAAAGCATTGGCAATCCTGCTTGGGGTGATAATCAATAGGACATGACACACCATATTTACAGATAAACATAGTCATTCAAATATGTATATAATTGCAAATATTGTAGTAACATGTGTATAATCAAATATTCAACAATTGTATACAAGCATAATATTGAAAAAATGATACATTTTGTGATGGCCGTCCATATGTTTTCATATGTTTCCATATGTTTCCCCCCCATTTCCGTTCCATTTTGGCCGAGGCAAACCTCCAGATGGAGCCAACTGGGTGGTGGCGGAGGCCCATCCACAGGGTCGGCGCTTGGCCTTCCGCCTGGTCACGGCTGCGGAACTCTTTCCCCGCGCCAGCACCCAGCGGTGGAGGTCCTACACAGTGGGATTAGATGATTAGACTTCACTTTGAAACATTGTATGGCGATGTATGGTGTAACTGCTGGTGACTGATGGTGGTAGGTTTTGATACTTTCAGATGCTGTTTATGTGTTTCTCCTTTGATTAATGATGCGTTCCTCCGTTTGGTGGTGTACCGTGGCATGATCACTCCCATCAGCTCGGATTCTGAGGCTTCGTTGAGGCAACAAAGCTGTCTCAATGGCCGCGGCTGGAAAGAACCTTGGCAGAGTGTAGTGTAAGCCCTGGGTTGATACACACCTGATTGGATGCATTGGATGGGTTCCATGTTGATCATCACATGTTGAAGTTTCCCCTGATACTGTGAGTCAGCCAAAAATCTCCCAGGGATTCCCAGGGTTCATGTATCCAGGGCACAAACTGACACTTTCTACGATTCTTTCGCCGTCCACATCAATGTGTAAGAGCATTGGTTGTTTCATTGCCTGTTGGGAGTGAAGTAAGTCACGACTCCTGTTTTGCAAATCTGCTTGTTTTGCCCAGGATGACTTCGCCCACATGATGGAAAATAGATATGTTATACTATATTATATGAAAATATGATTTGTATGTTTGGGAAGTGAGCAGGTATGACCCAAGAATTTACAATTCTGGGCTGAGATGACTGTCATTTGAGGATGGAACCCGGGTTACCTAGGAGATCACCCGCAGCGTTTGTTGAGGCCTGGTGTATCTTGTGGAGCTTTCAACGACGCCAGAAACTGCCAGGGAAACTCAATGGGGAAAGCCGGACATCGAACTGAGTGGGGGATGTTGAAGGCATAGAGATGAAGTTGATATGATTTGATATGCGTGTACTCATCTTGTTTGCAAATTACGTCACAGCAAAGCTGCGCATGACGAAGACACTGTTCAGAATTGAAGCATGCGTCCCTGAACGACCAGGGCTGGATCTCACTGCGCGCACAGTTTGTGTCATTATCATTCTCTCACAGATACATCTAGAATCATCTAGAGGTATCAGCCAGAGTGTCCAGTTCGAACTCATCGCCAGACCCAGGGCTCCATGTGCATGTCCTTGGTTCAGGTTGGTCACATCATGCCCTTCCGTCACGACTACCGGAAGTCTGAGAAGGGCTATGCCACTTGAATGCCAAGTAGACACACCAATGGCAATGGCGATATAAAATTCATATATAATTTCAAATAATTTCATATATAAGATGGATATATATGTATATAGATATATATATATATATACACATATATATATATTTAGACATATTATATTATGTATATAATTTATATTATATTATATTATATTATACTATATTATATTATATTATATCCTATTCTATTATATTCTATTCTATTCTATTCTATTATATTAATATTGTCTTATATCACATTATCTTGTATTCTATTATATTCTATTCTATTATATTGTATTATATTATATTATATTATCTTGTATTATATATTATATAGTATATTATTTTTTGTTATGATATTATATTACATCATATCATATCATATCATATCATATTATTGTATGTATGTTGTTTTTTAATATTATATCATATTATATTATATTATATGATTATATATATATATTGGTGCAGTCAGAAAGGCTGAACTGTGCAGATGCCTCAATGATTACTTGTGAAGGAAGCTATCAAGGAACACCATATCTTCGGTATCTTCGGTACCAACTGAGAGATCTGAGAGGCAGAAAACGCTGAGGCCAAAGGTGACCTCCTGCTGCTTGAAGGGAGTCGCCCTGGCTTGCAGGCACCCGATCCATGGATTCCGTGGAATCCCAGTGACTCGTCCAGTTTGTGAAAGCTACGACTGGCTACAGCGCAACTGTACATAGCCAGTTTGTAGGTGTGCATTAGTTAATTCAGGTCATTTCAAATCATCTCAAATCATACACACCAGGAAGTCCTACATGTCGCTTCTCTTAGATGAACGCCTGGATCGGCATGGGCAGGATGTGGGCATCGTCCGCAAAGTGCTGTATGGTGCCAAAGGCGACGTCAGCTCCACAGAAACCTGGTCCAGCTCCATCCTGTGGCGGTAGTGGATGCCCTTTGGGGCTCCCATTGGATGGGGATTTTTTTTGGTGGATGGGATCTGGAAGATCTGGTGTTGGACTTCACCCCAGCCGCTGGAAACCACCTGCCGGCAGGTGAGAAAGCAGCCATCATTGCAGCTCAAAAAGATCCAATGAACCTGTCAGGTGCCATCGCAAAGAGCTTGGGAGCGAATCTTCATGGCGACCTCTTTGTGTTTCAAGACCTACCAAGACTCAACTTGAAGTTTGCAAGCATATTCCATGACCTACAAATTACATGCCATGATATTGGCATAAGATGGACTAGGATTGCTGATATTTGATACCCCCATAACTCATGCAGCTTAACCCCCCTCATTGCATCCATTTGATAACTTGATTCCCTTTATAATCATTTAGGGGTCACAGGAAACACCGCTTTTCGGCCACAAATTCACCGTAGTTCAACCAGGCACACCACGTTTGGCCTTCCAACGCTGTGGGGCGCCGGAGAAGACCAAGCGAGAGCAGCTGGGAAACCCAGATTTCTGGGTGGTTTCCAAAGATGTGTAAACCATTTACCCTCTGGTAAACAAACATAGCCATGGAAAATGGCCCATTTATAGATGGTTTACCTATTAAAAATGATGATTTTCCATGGTTATGTTAAAGAACCAGATGGTAACTTTACGTAATTTTACTACAATACAAGTATCATAAATGGCAAGCCAATGGTATTTGAATAACTTTACGCGCGAACACCCGATTCGCCCACACCCCTTCTATGCTGTACACTTGGGGATATCAAACGTTAGACTTTACATTCAATTGGGAAGATCAACAAGGGTATTTAGGGAACATAAATTTCCCACCCCCGTTAAACTTTACATTCATTGAAGATCTTCAATAAGGGTTTAATTCTCCCACCCCCGTTACACTTCTACATTCATTGAAGATCTTCAATAAGGGATTAATTCTCCCACCCCCGTTACACTTCTACATTCATTGAAGATCTTCAATAAGGGTTTAATTCTCCCACCCCCGTTACACTTCTACATTCATTGAAGATCCTCAATAAGGGTTTAATTCTCCCACCCCCGTTAAACTTCTACATTCATTGAAGATCTTCAATAAGGGATTAATTCTCCCACCCCCGTTCAACTTCTACATTCATTGAAGATCTTCAATAAGGGATTAATTCTCCCACCCCCGTTCAACTTCTACATTCATTGAAGATCTTCAATAGGGGATTAATTCTCCCACCCCCGTTAAACTTCTACATTCATTGAAGATCTTCAATAAGGGATTAATTCTCCCACCCCCGTTCAACTTCTACATTCATTGAAGATCTTCAATAAGGGTTTAATTCTCCCACCCCCGTTAAACTTCTACATTCACTGAAGAACTTCAATAAGGGTTTGACGATGATGATGATGATGATGATGATGGTGATGATGATGATGATGATGATGATGTGTAAGAGACTCGCACAGGTCTTTATGCTGTGCGTGCCGATATACAACATGAAGTGAGCCATGATGCAAAAAAAACTCCCATTTTTATCACGTTTTCAGCACATACGAAGATGGCCGCCGACAAGCGCGGGCAAATCGAGGTGTTTGCCCGTAACTTTACTATAGAACAATTTTTATAAATGGCAAACCAATCGTTTTAAACATGTTATCCTAATCATCCAATATGGGTCGTTGAAACGGGGAAACGCTAACACCAAGACATTCCTAGAAGTGGTGCATTTCAGCAAAAACAATGGGATCCCATGAAACCAATCACTGCCTCCTGGGGGATGGTGGATGAGTATCCAATATCATCATCGATTGCTGTATTTTGGAGCTACAAAAATCATGAAAATCATATGGGGTTACCTGGGGCCCTGATAGCCACCAGGAACAAACCTCCTTTTCCTGTTCTTCTCCCGAGGATCACATCCTTGGAACGCATGGTGCTGCCACTGTGAATGGCTCAGTGCTCATACATGTCGTTGATGTTGGTTTCCAGAACCAAGCATGGGTCCCAATGTCATGTCCAAAAAAGTCAATGGTAGTCAACGGTACAAATAGTGGTAGTCATTTCAGAGGTCCCTTCGGCGGATTGTATAGCCATATTGGATCATAGGGTGAAATAGAAATTCGGCTCACTTGGGATCCACTGAGTATATTGGAGGGTATATTAATGTATATTATATATTATATACCCATGCTTGAGATCAGAGGATTGCTGACCAGGCTCGCTGCCCGCTTGCCTTCGGGCGCTACAGCTCTGGGAGTTGGAGCTTCCTTGGATAGTGCCCCAGAGTGGCACCCGGTGGCAAGTTTGCAGCTACCAGTAGTGCCTAATCTGGAGTTTTGCGGTAGAACATGGTCCAAAGTGGAGTAACTAATGATGTTGATGACAGCTGAATTTGTTTTCAGGGTGGATGACGTCTGTGCTCATTTCCAAACCAAACTGGGGCAACAAATTGCAAGGAGCAATCCGATCCTCGAACCCACAAGAAATATCAAGAGATGATCGCTGCAGCGGTGCAAGCTTGCTAGCCATATTCAAATCTGGAATGGTTTGACCAGAATATGGCCGGATGCAGCACGTGCTTGATGACCTGCTGGCAGGTACCTTTCTGCGCTTCTTCGTGCGTTTGTCGAGTCAAGAATCTGTTGACAAGGACACCCTGACTCAATGAGTTGGTACTCTGATATTAAATGGGATTTACTGCTGATTTAATGGGAATTCATCATCACTTTTCCTATCAACATGGCACTACATATGGGATCATATGGGTATCCAGACCATTTTTTGTATGTATCTATGTTGTGAAGATTAGTCAGTACCCTCCAGCCAGAATCTGCGTGACAGATTCAGCGGCTGGGAACAAGCCATAACAATTGAAGATTGACATCTTGAAGATTTCTGAACGAGTTCTGAACAAGCAAGGAACATATGAACATGACACATCTCAGCTTTTACATGTTTTCATGCTATCCAAATGGGAGCTATTTGGAGTTCAACGGCGACACTAAAACCCGAGTTGCAGAATCTCCAGGAGTCACCTGCAGCCCAAGGTGCTGCTGCAGCTGCTGCTGCGGTGGGCGCATTGTTGGGATGCCAGACGGAGGCCGAAGAACCGCTTCAGCTGACATCCAGGTGTTGGAAAAATCGAGCAAGGGACAAACATGCCTGAAGTGTTTGGAAGGAACAAGCATGATATCTGTATTTCAATGCGGAAATACTATGAAAATCTATGAAATACGTACATACTTGAAGAGTTCCATGAGAGGTGCCAGAAGATTTATGAGACATGTATGGCTTCAAGCTCTCGCAACCTCATGCTAATTAGGCAGGTCACAGTCACCGATCCCGCAACATGTCTGCTGATGTGTGCTGAAGGTTGGCACCAAATGCAACCAGCTCTGGTAGTCGGATGTAGTCGGAGTGATTCCGAAGCCAGGTCTTTGCCTCTTCGGGTCCAGAGGCTCCAGCTCCAACAGAGGCAACAGTCCCCGTCCCGGCGGCTGAAAAGATGGCCAAGGTGCGCTGCCCTGGTGCATGCTGCATGGTGCTTTGAGGGTCCATGTGGAAATCTGACTCTTAGCCAGCCGGGGATATCGGATAACCACCAGCGAAAGAAGGCAGGCAAAACCCATCTCAGGTGAAGGAGAAAGTGTTGAAAGCAGCCAAAAAGAAAGCCAAAGAGAGGAAGCAGCTTGGATTGCATCCCACGCCTCATGGGTCAGCTCATTGATACCAGGGTGAGCCCTGTGAACTCTGCCCCAACGATCCCCAAGGCATTTATGCATGAAGGAAAATGCTAGAGGCGTCAGTGAGTGAAGTTGTGACATAAAGACTTAGAAATTCTGTTGTTGATATTGTTGAAACACTTGGGACATTTGATCACTGCGGCTTGATTTTCCCAACAGTAATTGATGGTCCCTTCGAAGGATGGTTCCTGAGAATCGCTCCCCGATTTTCAGACATACTGGAATGTACATGCAATACGCTATACACGTGTATATTTCACTGCATGATCTAGTACGTCAAGACTGTGCCCTTTCCGCCCTTTCCCGAATGTCCGGAGGTTTTGCACACCAGGTGCAGCCAGTAATTTTCCTTGTGAACCCAGGAAGGCTGAGAAAGCACCATCCAAATCTTCCTCTTCATCGAGTGACTTGCCTATTGACTTGTCCACCACTGCATTTAAATTCTACCATTCTCTAAACACTTCCAAGTATTTTTTGGGGCTTTGCTGAGCTCACACACTGATTTGTTGGATTGTTGCACATTGGGTCTGATACGGGAACATCCACATGGGCCACGCCAAAGGCTCAGAGTCTTCCTCCGATATGTTTTTACTTGCCATGGCAAAGAGAGGCAGGGACGAAGCAGAAGCAATCTGGATGCAATGGATCTTAGACTGCAGAATGTTGTCAGGGGTTTGCAATCATCAGTTGAAAATTACGGATATGTTTGTTTTCCGTCCTCCTTCCCAGATTCGTAATAGAAGCAATCTTCATAGATTTCAAGGCTGGTAATGGTTCGTGCCAGCAGGTGACAAAGCGTTGGGAAGGACCGCTCGTGCCGAGACTCAATCGGCTCCTACATAGAATATCAAATATATTATATAAAATGTCATTTTGGACTGAATCCATAGATATCCATAGTATTTCATGGAAATCCTGGTATTGGGGAACAACTCCAGATTTTCGGGATGTCAAGTATGAAAAATCGTTTTTTTTAATATGGAAGATATATATTTTGTTTCTATCGTATGATAGATCATAGTAAATGGTATAATTATATATAATTGATATAATTTAATTTTATCATATTATATCTTATTATATTATATAATATTATATCATATTATATCATAATATATTATATTTTATCATAATTTATCATATTTTATATTGTTTGATTATATTAATATCATATTATATAATATTATATTATTTTATAATTTTTAAATAATCAATAATAATAATATATAATTATAATAATATAATAATATAATATAATATTTAAT